ACTGATTAAATGTATACATTTAACCACTACAATTTTTTTCATATAATTTATTGGTTTTCAACCCATACACCTTGGTTACCCAAAAAGCATTTTATTACGTTAAGTTAGCATAACTTAAACACTACATAAGAAACAAATACCCAACTGATGCATATAATATCTGATTGCCTAAAAAGAACGTACGTAGGTGGTTGCATAGGTAAGGTCGACCTAAGAAAATAGTTTTTTTTTTGGGGAGTAATTAAGGCGTGTATAATTTTTGGCGGTAATGAAGGAAAAGTTGAAAATGTTGGTCTGATCATACTTTACTAGAAACGTATATATAATGTTAGGGTTAGCCCACACTTTTGTCGCAATTTGGGCGATGGGAGTTCAGAGATAGTACACACAAGTATGCGTATATATCTATTGGACTTTCATATATATATAAAATGTGTATGCATGCATGTGTGTACTGAGATCATATGTGACATTGACATATCCCTGTTCTTTTCTCTTCTGATTGGTTTATAAAGCTATTGCCACAAACTCCCAATCTATTTGTACATCTAATGAGAAAGTACTTAAAATTTAATTGAAGCAATAATTTACACTCTCCACTTCTCATGTATATACACACGATATATATATATATATATATACAAATGCATGTTTATGAAATAATTATTTGAAGCTTTCTTTTGGGAAAAAAAACTATTCGAGTGTGTGTACATACTACATAATATAAGGTTGTCTTGGGGACTTTTATCCTTTCTAGAATATCTATATCGTTACTTATTAGAATAATATTTTTTTTCACAAACATCCCAATTGTAAAGGTATGAATTGAACCCCACATGTTTCAAAGTAAACATTGGTGTCAATTATCGCCACCAACGAAAAGCTTATTACTTGGAAGAACACTTCATTAACATTACGAGTATATAGATTCATGGATCCAATTCATTAAGTTGGATTTATTAGTCATATATAATTTTGTCTAAAAAAATACAATGATCTTCTTTTAATTGGCTAAAGTCAAATAGTCAATACAACGATCTTCGAAATTTGTCTTCGTTTTTTTCTTTGAACCTGCTTCGTACATCCACTTATACCCACTATAATCTCATGAAGATAATAAGCTACCATATTTATTTTAAAACAAAAAATCTATAAACAGTTCAATATGCCCTTTATATAAATCACAGTTTAATTTGACTACAGAGTTTTCCCAATAATATAATAGGTTTGATGTTGATATACTATTTAAGTGTCATATTAAGCTTAATTTATCTACATAAATAATTTGAGAAAGACTACTATTGCATCAGTTAAATAATATCATTGTGATCCAGTCTAGTTAAGTAGGCATCTACGATCAGAATCTCGACTAATTAGAAAACTAAAACAAAAAAATGTGCCTATGCTGCTACTTGCCAGGGATGAGTTAAAAAATGGGCTGTTGCGCAGAAGGGAGAATAATAGCTTTTCAAAGTATAGTATTTAAATTGGTTATAAATATTCCTATATACACACATTCCTATATTCATACATAAATGTGTGTGAATAAAGCATTTCCTTATTCTGTGCTTGAAAAAGGTATCAGATATGAAGACTATAGGGTTTCTCCAGTTCTATTTTCTATCTTCTTTTTATACGAAACTACGATTCTGAAAATCTAGTTTAATTGTTATTTCAAAAAACAAATGGGCTTCAGTAAGATTCCACTTTCTATTTAATTCTAATATAATTTCCTGAGAAAATTACAAAGTAAACGAAATCTCGGATATCAAGGAGAGCGACAGTGTAGGTAAAACAAAAATTAGGTGTGCATTAAAACTCGAAAAGTGAAAAGATAACGATGTTTATATGTCAATGCCTCATGTATTCATATATTTTCAGATCGTGTAAACTAAGAAAGATGTATAGCTATACAATTGATGATTGATGGTCTTGATCCGTATATAATTAAGCAGTCAAAGTATATTTTTTATAGCAAAAAGCTATCCCCGACTATAATTTTTTCTTAACTTTTTTATCCATTCTACTAAACCATATTCATTGCAAACTAAAAAACACAATTATTGATCATATTTAGATTGATATGGTAACAACATTCATGAAAACGATTAGAATACAAACTCCATTGTATTGAAATTCTAATGACGAAAGAAGCATTTTTTCAGATAAATTTTATTTATAAATGCAATATTAAAAGTTCGTCAGATTTATCCTTATTTTTATCTAAATGAAAAGAAGGTTTATCCTTGTGTGTGCCCTTTAATACATAGTCTATGCGTATGTATGGATGGATGGTATAAATTGTCTTTCAATTGCAAACAGTAATTTTACTGCATCGAGTAGAAAAAGTTAAATTAAAGAAGAGTACGGAGTGGAGAGCTAGAGAGAGAGTAGGTAGGTCATAGCCTCATAGGGTAGAGTCATGTAGGGGAATAGGCATAGCATGTTTATGGACCGTCCAGGCTCCTCGGCTCCGACCTATGGTCCGTCTCTTTGTCTTTATGTCGCAGGCTTCTCTCTGCCACGTGCACTCTTTTCTCTCCTCACATTTCTTTCTTTAGGGCACAACTATATGCCAAATTGGACATATTTAAACCTCTCTCTCTCTCTCTCTCTCTCTATATATATATATTATTTCTTCTTATGAGATATCACTAATTGATAGATTATGCTATTAACATTTTAATTATTGCTTAATCATTGAAGCATAAATTTTCCTTAAGGACGTACAAGTTTCTAAAATGCCTAATTAGTCACATCGATCCTATATTTTAGCGAAGCCAAATCAGAGGCGAAAATGCTACATATGAGTGGACTAGATGAGTCCGGAATTCATCTCTTCTAAGATTCAGGCGGTGAACATTGACAATATGACATACACAAACTAATAGGGCAATTTTTTTTTTAAAGATAAATGATCATTGATGATTGCACCTCGTCAACCATTAGAAAGTCCTATTAAATTTTACCATTTTGACTAACCATTCAATATTCTCACCGTCCTGTTTCAACCATATTGCATGGACGACATTATATTTAATACAAGCATTAGCTTCTTTAGTTTTGTTCCTTTCTTTTATGCTTATGTTTACATGTTTAAATATTGTTTTTAGAGTATCTTATCGCCAACCATAACACTATAAACTTCACTATTTTGGTGTTTAAGGGCGGATGACCTACGCTACTATCTATCTTGTGGGTTGAAATTTCTCTATTCCAAATCCAATAATGTTAAACCTATATACTGGCTAAATAGTTTATATGGGTATCCATTTTAATTTTTTTTTAAAACATATTATATAACTCCAATGAGAGATTATTAATAACAAAATTACATAAAAGTATTTAGATATGAATGTAATAATGAAAGCCATCGATTAAGTTAAAGAAAATTGAACATTTGAATCGATTAAGTCAAATAACACTTTGATATCATCTTTAGTTTCATTGTCTAGAAATGATAATAAGAAAACGATAATAGCGTCTTAGATACACCATAAATAGTCAATATTAACAAAAAAATAAATAAATGATAATCCCATGGGTAACCCAAAACTCTAATGGGGTAACCAGTCAAACTTATAATAAGCCCACTGGGAATAATCCAACAAAAGACATATAATTATGTGGGTTAACAATTTCAAGCGGAAACGTTAGAACTTTGGGTAAAAACACTTTTGATACCTCTAATGCATAAGCCCACTTTTTAACTGAATATAAAAGTAATCAAGAGAAAATCGTTTTTAATATTTAGTGGTTCTCAAATTTGAAATTTAGATAGTTTAGAGATAGAAATAGAGTAAAAATGCAGTTTGTAATCGAATCTCATTTGGAGAACGTGAATGTAAAAGAAAAATACATTGCTACGGTTTTGCGTTTGTAGTTACAGTCTAAAAAGAATTATAAAAAGTAAATCAAATGTTATAACTACATATCAACACATATTGTACATAACATACAATTGCAAGCATGATAATTTTGTACTATTTTATCAACCGTTAAAAGACTGCGTGTGTTTTATACGAACAAATTAATGAGTCCGAAAATTAACATATAAGAAGAATAGTGCTATGAGTTTGATGAGCTCGTCTGTATCCCCGATCCATGAGTTATCGAATATAGGCGATGGTTCAATGTTTTATCAGAATATGGACACCATATTATCATCTGTCTTCAAAAAAATTATAATGATTATTTTTATTTTCACTTTTAACCAAAAAGAGAAACTGAACCTCTTCTGATCTTTTTGAGTGTTTTATTATCTTAAAATTCGTAAGAAACGGTCTCCCATTGGGAAGCGTAGAATCTAACAAGCTTTTTATTTTATAAAAGCCTCTGATTCCTAGTCCTATGTCCAGCCAATGTATAACAAAAAGCCAAAAGCTAAATTACAATCTCCCCCGAAACACACTATTCAATTAGTATTAGCAGACGAATCATATGTAGGAGCAAAACTAGTTACTCTCCTCGTTTAGCCTACATCTTCTTCGAGACTATATGCTATAACCATCTATATCGATTATCCATCTGTATCTAGATTGGATTAGAGATGTTACAATGTAGTACTTTGGGGCTTTGGCCCACCACAATATCTCCAAACCGGTATAAATTAATTTGATTAACACCTCTTGAAACTATGTACAGGACATGGGTAGTGAAATAACTAAATAAGTACAGGATCATCATAAGTGAAGTGTGTCCCCACCGAAAATATAGAGAAAGACCTTTAGATTTTATAACCTGAGAGGATGTAAATGTAAGCTGAAAGATCAATTTATGAGTTGGGTTACTTTTTCGTACTAGTGTTGTGGTCGAGAGGACCAAAACAAAGGGATAGGGACTAAGAAATATCTAACACAAAACAGAAGCAATAGTGCGTATTGGACCACAATATATCCAAGGACCATTACAGAATCTGAGTGTGGTTAAAAAAAAAAACAAGTACCTGGCTGATGTCACATGGACTGATCTTTGATGTTGTGAAAAATGTGTTTTTGAAATTTTTTTTTAAGCTTTGTTTTAAGATTCATGGTGTACCATTATATTTATATCCTACAAACACATAACCCAACAAAATGGCAAACTACAAAAGCAAGAAGAAAAAAACTTGGAAAAATCGATCTAAGGATGCTGAGGGAAGCTCGTTTTTTTATAGTTTTGGTGTATGAACAAACTGTTTATTTAGAGAGCCAGTAGATGATTAAAAACAGCGTACAAGCAGCGATGACAGCGGAGAGGATAAGTGTGTCCCGAGAACGTCTCCTTCTAATTGAGCCTATGAATGGAGAAAGACAAGTTGCTTAAGGATAATTAAAGGCTAATGAGATTTAGTTGAGATCAATATCATATAGAGGTTGAATAGAGGGATACCAAGTAAGCCACGAATCACTGGGAATTTGTCTCCGAGATTTTTTACTTTCCCTTGAACATCTGAAAACAGAGATCGCTGAGAGCCAAGAACTGCTCTTGTCGCTTGAGCTTGACCAATGACTTCATCAATCTGCAGCCGAATGATTCTACAACTATTAGTAAATTCTCCGTATCATCATCAACTAGTTAATTTACATCATAAAGAGGGATATTCATATTACAAAAGCCATGATCGCATAAAGTATCTTACATGGGATATACTTCCATGGATCGAAGCTCTCTCCCTTAAGACTTGCACACCTGGTGACATACTACCAGAAGCCTGCAGAAGCGAAAACAGAACCCGAGTTCCCATGAAAAGGTGAGCATAGAAGAATGTGTATACAGTATTACTAATTTTCTAAACCAGGAGACTATAGGACTCTTACCTTGTATTCACTTATGTCATCCCTGACAGAACTCAAAAGCTCAGCATGTTCTCTCATCGAGTTTATATTTCCTTTTATTCTTCGAAAGTCCTATATATTTACATGGAAACACATTATAGGCGAGAAGATAGGTCCTATAATAAAACTTCATACAAACCTAAGTATCACTAAACAAAAGCCACGCTAATGCAAATGGTTTTTTCTTTCACCAAAAAAAATGGGACTGCAATGACTCATCTAATATCACTGAATCATGAATGCAAGATAAGAAAACAATGGATTAGAGTATCGTATTGCCCATGTGGCACTATGTTTTATGCATCAACTTTGCATTATACTCCAAGGGTATTGAGATGAAAAATAACTGGACCAATCGCATTGAGATCATAATAGTCAAATTTAGAAAGTTCAAAGTCCTCAGTATATTGCAATTATCGAAGTTCCGAAGTTTCACTCAAGATATCACTATGGGGAAAGAAAACCTGGGTATATTCATGAAGTATATCCCTGTGCCTTGCAAGCTTTTGCGTAACCGATGTTGTGGGTGCGGCAGATGCAGCACATCTACTCATGGAATCATTAATGTCCAACAACTTCTCAAGCAACGATTGAATTTCCATCTCCATGGACTTCCATGATCTTCCAGATCCAACGGTTGGAGACCCAGCGTCAACATACCCTGAGACCAACACATAGAAAGAATGGAACCTGAACTTTCAAATTCAAGACTTTCTAGTGCTTCATTACAAACTAGAACAATATGGTGATACAATGCGATTCTTGAGAGCTGAGAGCTAATACAAAACAGTAAGCTCGAAACACAAAATTCTATCTACAGAGTCTATTATACATGGAAAAAAATTGAGAAATTTGCTGGGAACACTATACAGAAACATTTAAATTTTATCCGTTCTACAACACAGCACATACACTTGAAATAGCAGCAACAACGAATTTATCTACGATCAGCAGAGATCTAATCATTGCATCGCACGGAAATGAGAACATAGATTTTAAAAAATTAGATAACCACCACACTGGGGAACCAGAACAGAGACTGAGAGAGACAATAGCAATCAAAATTCAATCCGCAGTAAGAGATCATATCGAAATTAATTCCTCGATCTGTATCACATTATAAACCACTAACCTCTAGATTCAAAGAGTAGAGATAATAGCAACATACAAAGAAATACAGAGAGAATGATTAAGCGGAAACGAAGAAGAACGAACCTCCTTGGGTGAACCTGGCGCCAAGCTTAGCGTAAGAAGAGAGCTTAACATCTAGATCGCCTTCTATTTTACGAGCTTCCCTCCGAAGTTCCTCCCAACCTGATTCCTGCAGATCCAGACTCGATTCTGTCATTTCTAATCTTCACCAATTCAGATCAGTAAGCGTCTCCGTTCACCGGTAACTCTCCAGCTCCGCCGTGAGCCAATGCCGGAGCCTTCCCGTTCTCAGATAGCCAAAGCGAACGATCTGTGATTATAAAACTCAAACTGAAGGATTCAATTAAGCAGCGACGACGAGGGGATCGCTCTTCCCTCCTCCGCTTCTTCGGGCCGAAACCAACAGTACGAAAGACCAATCATCGGAGTAAAAATCGCTCTCACCACGGATTTCAATAGAATGGGCTTTATTAGGCCCATTTTAAATAAAAACAAACAATTGGGCGCACGTTAGGTGGGCCCTTCCCTAAATTGACTGGTGATGGACACGTTCGAGCCGTAAACAGTACCGAGTTTATGAAATTGTAACGTATTATTAATACTGCTGTTTCTACAAAGCCCAAACAGTCATGGGTAAAAGAAGTTTTTTTTTTTTTTTTTTTCAGATGTTAAATTTATTCGAATCAGAAAAAAGCGTTTTCTACATCGACGATGGGGGCTTTATAATTAAAACTAACTTAAACTTGACCAATTAATCAGAACAAAGGAAAAAATAACCCTGCACTTCCATTCCTGCTTCCCTATTGCTGTATGATCATTGTCGAGGTCTTGAGGCAAACCACAAAAAAATCATTGACAAATGATATCTAATCGCGGAAAATGATTTTTATTTTCTCAAGGTCATATCTATACAAACATTTAAAACGTCTTTAAGCAAAGATGCGGATTAACAAAAAAAACATGATTAGACTTTACAAGAAAAACTTGTCGGGTTATAAACACAATTTGGTTTTAAGAAATAACTCCAAACTATCTGTTTTTTATGTTTCTTGTCCTGACTAGTTAAAAAAAAAGTTTCTTGTCCTGATATAATATGAATATACATATCAGCCATTATTAACGTACGCAAGTAACATAGCTAGAGGACACACCGTACACATTTCGTCTCGTACTATAGTTTTTTATATCTATGTATATTTTTAACAAAATCACAGACAGGTAGATGATCACTAAGCTGATTGAAAAAACACAGTAGATGATCACTAACATAAAAAAAAAACATTTTAAAATAAAATGGTGGGGTTTTGATCTCGTGTGAGTGTTACCGAATATGGGTTTAATGGCTACAATGCCATAAATTGAAAAAAGTTAATCTGTTGTGCCATAAACAAGTATGTGTGCCATAATACACATGTAATTCCTATTTTACCCTTAATAAAAATTTTTGTGGCATTCCTGAATTTAATAAAAAAGTGATTGATTTTTTTATTTAAATTGAAATTAATAATCAAAACGAAATTAATTTAAAAAATATTTTTTTTAATTTTTTTTTTCTGTTTCTTCTTCTTCGTCAACGTTTTATTGATGGATTCTGAAAACCACCAAATCTCATTCTCGCCGTCAAACCCTCGCCTCTCCTCCTCTTCTTCATTCTCTATAATCATTTTATTGTTTTTATCTCCTCTCTCCACCACCATTGTTGAAGTTTCAAACCCATTTAGGTTTTTGTTTGGAGATTTGGGGATTTTACAATTTAGGGATTGAATTTCTCAAAATTGCTTGTTTGGTATCTAAATCGGGTTGGTAACCTAGTTTATGTGATGATTAGGTCTTTGCATAGATAATTTATCAAATATAGTTGTTGAATCGTAGTGATTCTTAGGTATAAAATCCGAGTTCATCACCAAATCTGCAGAAGAGGACAACTGGTACGAATGGTACAACTAAGAGATAAGAGAACAACTAGTACAATTAGTACAACTATGAGATAGAGGACAACTGGTACAAATAGGTATAACTAAGACAACTTAAATAATTGCTGATTGAAAATTCTTTTATTATAATTGAAAATCGGGTTAGTAACCTAGTTTTATATGACGATTTTGCATGAATAATTTCTTAAATATAGTCGTTGAATCGTAGTGATTCTTAGGTAAAGTATAATTATATCTGAGTTCATCTTCAAATCTGCAGAGGAGGACAACTAGTACAATTAGGTACAACTATGTACAAAAATTGACGGCACACATAAATGCAAATGTTATTTTGATGGATAGTGACACTTAGGTAAGTCAATCTAATTTAGAGGATTTCATTTTTGGCGGAGAATACTTTCTAGATGGAAATAAACAAGGTACAATTGGACACATATGTACAACTATATGCAATTCTTTCATTAGAAAATAATAGTGATAAACTATAAATATAGAAAGCAAACATTCACTTAAAAAATATAAAAAATTTGTAAACTATAAGGAATAAAATTAAAAAGATGGATAACATGAAATTTATCATTTTTCTAATACATATTATTGGTTTCACATCCAACACCCCTTATGATACAAAGAAGACTTTGATAATGTTAATAATCTTATGATGGAAAAGAGCCAAAATTATGATTTTGCATAAATTGTTTATGAAAATGTTGTAAATGGATTACAATAGTCAAAAATCATGTGGACAACTACAAAATAATAATTTATATCAAGGGACAACTGGAAAAAATACTAAAATTGTCAAAGGACAACTATGAAGAATTTTGGACAACTGGACAACTGAGTACAACTATGTATAAAATTGACGGCGCACGTGGTACTTTGACTGCACACGTGTCTCTTTTTGTCGGCGCACGTGCGTCTACGACTGACAACATAGTTGTACCTAGTTGTCCAGTTGTCCAAAATTTGGAATAGTTGTCCTTTGATCGATTTTGTAGTTTTTTCAGTTGTCCTTCGACATAAACTATTATGATCTAGTTGTCCACAAAAATTTCGAACATTATATAGCAGCCCCAAGGGTTTTGCGTCATTATTTTTCTATTTCCTATATTTTGGCATAGATGCTTGCATAAGATGGATAACATTGTCAAAGACTTCCTTATAACATAAATTCCTTATAACATAAGGGTTATTTCAAGTGAAACCAATAATATTTGGTTCTTTGAACAAAACAAAGTTTTATTTTCTTCCTTTTAGTATAGACGTGAAAAGATACAGTTTTTAGGGTATGGGTTGTATTGGTTTTTAAGTAAATAATTTTAGAAATTTTTTTAACACTACAATTAAAATATAGTTGTCCCAAGTTGCACCTAGTTGTCCTGGAGAAATTCATAGCGTAATTGTACCTAGTTGCACCTAATTGCCCTGGAGAAATTCATTAGTAATTGCACCGAGTTTCATCTAGTTGCCCTGGAGAAACTGAAAATAGTAATGCAAGAAATCAAAGAAATCCAAGAAATTCAAAATACAAATAACTCCAAAATAAATAGTAATACAATAAATCAAAGAAATTCAAAAAATACAAAATACAAATAACTCCAAAATAAATAATAATGCAAGAAATCAAAGAAATCCAAAATACAAATAACTCCAAAATACACATGTACACTCTAAGGCTGAAATAAGTTGAATCCTTCATTCAGCTGTACTTTTTTAAAAAATTAAGGAGTTATAGATAATTGTATATATGTGTCTAACTGTACCTTGTTTATCCCTATTTTGGAAAGATTTTCTCTGCTAAAATGAATAATGTGGCTATCCAGAATGAAAATTTTTCTGCTTAAATGTAATTTGTTTAGCTAAAATAAAATCTTTTCGGATAAAAATAAACCCAAAAATATACACAAATTAAGTCTCCATGCTACTTTTGCTCTGAGACCATTTATCTAATTTATTATCCGTTTTTCGTCTTTCGGCGATTTTTTTGGAGAATAGAAACCACTTTTTTTTTTGTCTAATTCGGCAGTAAGACAAACAATTTTTGTATATTATCAGAAATACTCCACTTAGTTTCATTTATATGTGAAATTCATTCTTCACATAAATTATCTACTCCAAAGTTGTTTAGTTTCATTTATCGCAATATTCTTACATACAATATCTTATCTACTAATACCAAATAAGTTATCAGCTCCAAATATGAGGTATTAAATGATATAAAATCTATTGAATTGCTTGTGTGGTTGATGCTCATTATCTCTTGAAAATATAATAAAAAAAATTCTCAATTAACAATTATTCAAATTGTCTTAGGTATATCCATTTGTACTAGTTGTCTTCTATCTCGTAGTTGTTCTAGTTGTACCAGTTGTATTAGTTGTCCTCTTATCTCTTAGTTGTACCTTTCGTACCAGTTGTCCTCTGCAGATTTGGTGATGAACTCATGTATACCTAAGAATCACTACGATTCAACGACTATATTTAAAAAATTATTCATGCAAATACCTATGTCATATAAAACTGGATTATCAACCCGATTTACAATTATAATAAAGGAATTTTCAATCAGCAATTATTTAAGTTGTCTTAGTTATACATATTTGTACCAGTTGTCCTCTATCTCATAGTTGTACCAGTTGTACTAGTTGTCCTCTTATCTCTTAGTTGTACCATTCGTACCAGTTGTCCTCTTCTGCAGATTTGGTGGTGAACTCGGATTTTCTATCTAAGAATCACTACGATTCAACAACTATATTTGATTAATTATCTATGCAAAGATCTAATCATCACATAAACTGGGTTACCAACTCGATTTACATATCAAACAAGCAATTTTGACAAATTCAATCTCTAAATTGTAAAATCCCTAAATCTCCAAACGAAAACCTAACTGGGTTTTGAATCATCAACAATGGATGGGGAGAGGAGATAAAGACAGAAACTGATTGCAGAGGATGAGTAACCAAGGGTTGGATGATGAAGTTGAGATTTTGGTGGTTTTCAAAATCTGTCGATGTTTTAACGACGAAGGAGAATAAGAAAAAGGGAAATATAAGGAGAATTAAAGAAAATTAATTAAAAGAATTAAAAGAAATTGCTGGAGAAGAGAAAAAGAATTTAGGTAATTAATAAATGAAAAATAAAATGGGTTATCGGATGGGTTGAATTCGGGTGGATATTACCTTGATTTTTTTGTTAATAACTTGACATATAAAGAGAAATGAAGAATTTCCAGGGTTAACCTTATTAATAAAAAATCGAAAAAAATTAATTATTAGAGGGATGGTATTTTAGCCTTTTGTAAAGATTTATGGCTTTTCAGCCGAGCGCTCCCGAATATGTTCAAAAATTTGTCCCACGTGGCCAGCACACGTGTGGTGGCATAATTGTCTTCATCTTCAAACACAATAACCATGAAGCTCCGACAACACATTTTCAGATAATAAAATAAAAGTTGAGGCATTTGTCTGATAGTTTGTTTTCAGATTCAGAATCAACCACTACTACTAGTAACATCTACGCAAATCACAGGATATCACTTAATTAATGATTTTGACCCAAGCAAAAAATTTGGCATTCTCAAACTAGCAAGTCTAACCGCATTTTCCATGGCTTTGATTTGATCTACGAAATGAATAGATAGTTGAGCTCAAATTTAATTTGCTTAGACGATAAGTGCAGTCTAACGATTAATGGCACGTATCACACATTTAATGTAGATTCTTCGGGTTTTGACTTTTTGAGGCTCAAAGCAACAAAAAAATGTGGCAGTTATAATCTAATCCAACGGCCAATAATCTTCATCTTCATCTAACCGTTCATTTAACTAGTCTCCTGATACTCCTTTGTTTCTCTATTTAAAATCCTCTGCATTTCACTCACTTCTTCTCTTTGATCACTCCTTTCCTGAACGTTTTATACAGCCAGCAATTTTATTTCTCTCTTTATCCGTTCGTCGATATATCCTGTCGGTGATTCTCCTCCGTCGAGATTCTGAAAGTTTGTTTTTGTTTTCCGTAAAAAATTGTTTTCTATTATTATATACAGAGGAAATCAAGAAAAATCTAAAAAGAGGGTGATTTCTTATATCTTCTCGTTTAAATGAACACTCGTCTCACTCTCTTAAGTCTTCTTAATATAACATTTGTCTCAGATCTCTCAAAGATTATAGCTTTGTGACAGTTCTGTTTTTCAAAGTAGCTTTTTTTAAGAAGAAACGAAGATGGGGAAGCTCAAAGGATTTAAAATGGGAAGACGGGTTCTACGAGTCTCTGGATGGATCCGTAAATACCGGATCCGTCGTTCCGGGTACATTCGGGTACAGTCGACCCGACCCGCTTGCAAGTACTTGAGACTACCAATCGGCAAACTCAAAAGGTGGGGACAACGCCTCACGCAGAGTTTCAGATTACTCGGGTCTGCAACTGCAAGAGGAACCGGATACACGCCCGTTGGTCATAAACAACCCGACCCGGTTCCGAAAGGACACTTAGCGGTTTACGTGGGTCAAAAAGACGGCGACTTTCACAGAGTTTTGGTTCCCATTGTTTACTTTAACCATCCTCTGTTCGGTGAGCTGCTCAGAGAATCGGAAGAAGAGTACGGATTCTGCCACGAAGGAGGAATCACTATCCCTTGTCCTTATTCGGATTTCGAACGGGTCAAAACCCGAATCGCATCCGGATCGGGTTCTCGGATATTTCGATGGAGCCGTCATTGCCGCAATTGAAGACAATCATGACTTATGAGAAAATAAGTTTTAGGATCTCAAAGTAGATACTGTTCCCTTTATTTACCATTTTTCTATCTTGTTTTTTATCCACTTTACTCCCCTTTTTTCTTGTAATGGTGAATTCTAGAGTAAGGTCTAAGGTGATTATGTAAATAATTGTTATGAGTATATTTAATGATAATATAGTGATTAGCATTGGGACATTTAGTGATAATGAAGTTGTCTTTGGACATTATAGTGATAAAATGGAATTGATGATGAAGAAACCCTTGAAAGGAAAAAAGGTAACACGATTCTAACCTCTTTCTATGAGTCTAAACAAGCTTTTAGCTATGAGTCGCAAGGATTTTTTGGTTGCTTGCTTATTTCCACTTAATTACTTAATTACTAAACAAGCTTTTAGCTATGAGTCGCAAGGAGTACTTGACATACTATTTAAGAATGGCTAATATTGGCTACCTTAGACGACAATTTATTTTTGGTTTTCGTGGTTGCCTTGTCTGATTTGGATACGAAACACTTTGATGTGAAAAATGGTCAAATCTTTTTTTTTCTGTTAACGGCTTCTTGAATTAAAATTATTGAGATTACAAAAGATCTCGGTAAGAGACATATGATAATTTTTTGCGAAACAAGAAACGAACAAAATGAAGATTTATTAATTTTTAATCATATGATAAATTTATTTCAGAATACAATATCTTTAAAGAAATGAACGAAATTACATGGAACTACTATATAAAATCATACAGGAAATTCTAAAAATTATACTGTAAGAAAAAGATCCTTATTTGTTTTGTAATAGACCAATCAATTGCGTCGTATATACAACTTTGCATCATATACCATATGATTTGTAGTTAATCATATAAATTCTTCACAGACCAGAAGTAAACGGAATGCTAGATGGAATCCAAGAACCACCAGCGAGGAAATTACCAACGGTAAACCTCGAAGCTTCGGAAGCAGAACGAAGGACCCGAAACCCAGGCCATTTGACCCGACCCGATGTCGAAGCACCCCGACCCGTATTCTGGAACTCAGCGTAAAACAAAGTCCTCAAAGCAAAATTACCGTCCCACTCAAGCCATCCACGTGGATCAATAAGACCATCGAGAAAAGTTTTCATAAATACTGTCCGAGAATATTGCCTCCACGGTCGGCCCAAATAAGTTTTGGTGGATCCCAAAATGGGTCGGAGATCCGAAGCTGCAGTGACCCGAGAGTTATGGATAATAATACCCGTGTTTTGATTCGGGTCGGATCTTCCTTGAGCTGTGATTGTGTTGGTACGACTTCGTGGACGACGTGCGAAGATGTTACAATTCTGGAGAACGGCAGCTGCGTTTCCAAAGATGAAATCAACGGTTCCATAAACGTCGCAGTCGCGGTAAAATTGGCGGTTGGAGTGAACGTAGAGTGTATCTTGGTAACCTTCAAAACTACATTGATAGAAAACAGATAGATCCGATCCGGATCTTAGAGCTACTGCTTGTGCGTTGTTTGCACCCGCTGTGTTTCTAAACGTTATTCCACGTGCTATAAACCCGTCTCCTACAGCCGCTGTAATCATTTGATAAATGATTAACAAAAAAAAAACGATTAGTTAATTAGACTTTATGACATATAGATTTATAATATCACGCTAGGATACTGTAAATTGTTGTGTAATAAATAACAGAGGTTTATTATACCTGTAAATATCAAACGAAGCATAAAAAAAGAACTGAGTTGACTAATAAAACTTTCCATAAAAACTGAATGGAAATTAATTTACTTTGCAAGAAAAAGAAAGCAACGAGAGAACTTAAAACCCAAATCTATAAAATATTGAATCTATACGACCTATAAGACGGTTCTTATATGTATGTCACTTTCGAATTCGCTATTTAGTTTGGTGAGTTTATTCATGCACGTAAGATTTCGCAAACTAAAACATATGATACTAATAAATAAAAGTAACCATATACGTACCGACAGTAGCTGAGTTAAACGTGGTCGTTCCTCCACCAACACTTCTGCTTCCCGTGATAATTGTTCTCCCTTTACCATCTCCTCTCAACATAATATTCTTTTTTCGAATCTCAAGATTCTCACTGTAAACGCCTTGCTTCACATATATCACGAACCGGCCACTCCCTTTAGCAGCGTTAATCGCATCTTTAATCGTCCTGAAATTACCAGACCCGTCTTTAGCCACCACCGCGTTATCTCTAGGCGTCGAGCTTTGTAGAAGCTTCCGGTCACCGGGTTTGACCCACGAAGGGAACCCGTCTTTCTCGGGTGGGGTATAGTTGAAAGGAACTTTGTTGATGGCGAGTGTGTTGCATATAAGATTTGAGACGTTGTTTGAAATCAAAGGAAGAACAATATCGGTAACACCAAGCTCTAAGAACCCGGCTCGACAAGTGTCGAGATTAGTTAGAGCCGTGCTGAGCCACGTTTGCGCATCGGTTTTCGAGCACTTCACGTTTGGGTCCATCGTCTCGTTGATTTTAGAGACGGTGAGGTCGTAGAGCTTAAGACAATCTTCCCAAGCAGCTTTTTCGCGTGTGTCGCGGCACTTTGGTCCTAGTGTAGACGTGTGTGTTTTGGCGAGGATGGCTCTGTCCAAAGCGAGTTTCATTGATATTTTGAGGAACTCGGATTCAGATTTTATGGGTTTTTGGTTTGAGTTATGGGTTAAGAAATACTCGCATGGTTTAGGGTTTGGAGTTTGGCTACACCACGCTTTCACGTCTTTCGAGTTGTAACCCGAAACGGTCGATGCCACGAAAATGCATAAGAACACTACAAAGGTAATAATAGAGACTCGGAGAGCCATTTATAAGACCAAATGTTCTGATGAGAAAGAAGAAGTTTGTGTTTAAAGGTATTGGATGATGAGATCGATGTCTTGAATCGATGAGTTTATATAGATGTATGGGTGATGCCTTTAAATTTAATTAAATAATTTAAATATAATAATATGTCATTTCATATAACAGTTGAAAAAGAAAGAAAGTATTTATGTCTATACCAACCAATGAATTGGTGACCATCATGCCGTCATATATTCTCTATGTTGAAATAATTTTCATGTTTGGGCTATCTTTTTTTGACGTGTACAATATTAAGCTGAAATTTGAGTAGGCGAGAAATTAAGGTAAAACTATTTTCAATCAGGTAAAAAGTTGCCACAATCGAATTCATATACGAAATATTAGAAACGACGTAACTAAATTTGATAGCATGAAAATAATAGGTTTATTAGTTAGCAGAACTCGTATTTAATTAGTAGTACTATATAGTTTTTATTCCAATCAATTAATTTATAAAATCTTAGTTGTGAAACGCAGCAACATTTTTAAAAAAAAAAAACTCAATAACATTATTAGCATATACGCGTCTATGGGAGGTAACTCAATCGGATGTCCAAAAGTCTCTTAGATGAAAGAAGAAGAATAAAAAGTCAAAGTCATGCCACTATATAATTTAGTTTGATTATTAAAGTAATTGTAACAACAATAGTAATAAAAACAAATTTTTTTAAAAACAACAATAAAAATAAAAAATTATATGCAGGTAAGGCAGAGACAGAGTACTGGCTATCCGCAAAGACTAATCAACCGTCGACGCCTCGTCAGCTTCGAATTTTCACTGGTTTCTTTCATCAAAATATACGACTCGTTTACCGTAGCGCACTGTATACGACTACCAAGCCATTTGCAAAATCCTTTATAACTATTAAAGCAAAGTAAGTTATTAATTTAAAGTATATTCTATACTATAACGGCAAAAATAATATGTTTAGAGGGATACCTTTTCCTATAGAATCTATTTTTGTGCTTATGAGACTCTAATAAGATTGCGTATGTACGTAATCAAACAAGATAAGGATTGGTGTACAAAGATCCGTAGTCGGATGGAAAAACCCAAATTTTTGAAGGATCAAGTGAACCATTCGCGCTATAGGCTACTCGTTTACTATCTAGTTACAAACTTACAATAACGGGAATACATATACATATCAACTATTTAGTCGTTACGTCCAGTACTTCACTATAAATCAACATATCTAACAGCAGTTAGCACAACATCATCTTCGGTGATTTCGTGTATCGACCGTATGATTCGCGACAGGCTTCTCTCTTATCCTCCGACCAGTTCTTCCTCTCCCTCTCTCCTTGAATTTTATTTTGGTTGTATTAATATTTAGCTAGTCTATTAATCTGTATCCTCTCCACTTGTAATAGGCGATTAGGATTAAGTTGCTTTGCAACATGTAAAACTCAAAAAATGGTATAAATTTTAACATTTAGACCAAAAAAACATATCTAACAAATCCTTTTATAAAATCATATTAGATAAACTTTCTATATGGGTTTACGTTCACGTTCAGATTGATTGAAATGAATCTCTGGTGGTTAAAGTTTATAAAATTTTCGGCCTAAAAGAACATAATTCATATGACTTTTTTGAACTGCGCTTAAACTAATTATATAAGTTGGTAATGAGATGTATATAAATTTAATATTTAAAATAAACAAATTGAGAGGACGTAAGACTATAGCTATGGTAGGTTGGTCAAATTAAAAATGAATAGATATTAATGATCTTATCCATAAAAAACTGATTATTAAATGGTTGAGGAATTGGTTACAATTACATGCAATGCAATGCACAGCTATATATGTATATACTATATATATATATATGTTTCTACTACTAGAAAGTTGTCCGTCATCAATAAAATGAATGGAAATGAAGACTGGCTAGCTAACGTAATACAACTTGCGTTTTTCAATTAGTTTTTTTTAAAAAAAAAAAAAATTAGGTTTAGTGGGTTTAAAAAATGCGAAGACTAAAACTTATAAACCAATGATGAGAAAGTCACCAATACCAATCGTCGTGTGAGCCATAAGTTAATAGTATCCATTATCTAAGACGAAGACCAAATACCGTGACAATCAGTCGACCGAGTTAAGAGTTTGTGAAATAAACCGACGAATATTTTGTTTTAAGGAATCTCTATTAAAAAACAAAATTTGCTGGTAAATCCATTACAGATTAGGTCTCTGGTCATTATAAATTATATCATTTATGGGTCGATTCATATATTAAAATGTAGATCTATAGCAAAAAGGAAAATATTATGTAATTTTATTTACTTTAAAATATGTTCGAAATCAAATTTTCTTAATATTTGACCAAATTATAAATTTTGGAAAATGATTTATTTATTTATTTCATATTTACTTAATTAACATGTAAGGCCGCTTAGTCGAAACTCTGGACAGAAGAAAAATAAACTATTCAAACTTATGCCTAATTCGCACCATGATAAGAAAATGTAATTTTTTCCTCATTCGTTTGTGCTAAACTTAATTAGACTTACTTGTTAGTGCTGATTAATATTAGAATCCAAAAAGAGTTGTTAGTACAAAATTAGTCTTTTGTTGAAAGTATTACTTTATTGGTACTATCATCCAAGCTCTGGATTCTTGAAACGTTGCCGTTCAACACAAGCCTGCGTTACGCGTAACGTCGACGGAAGAAACGAGGTTAACATAAACTAGCAGAGATCGGAGACAGTCAGACAGGTCTCAATCTATGGGTAGATTACCAACATTATCATCTGGTCTAAGTTGACTTTTTAAGCACGACCCAAAAACAACATGTCTTTTTTTAATGGTAACGAAGTTCATTAATATGATTTTTTTTTTTTTTTCATTTGACGATGAGTAAAGATATGATTTGACCTCTGGACGTTAATTAGTCTTTTCATGGATTATCCATATAGTTTTACTTTAAGAATAAATATAAAATAAAATCTATGTATGAAGAAGAAGAGGTAATCATCAAATTGAGAACTATCACAATTAATCTAGTCTTTTGACAAAATTACATCATGAATATACTTAATGACAAATTATTATAAAACAACAAACGTTTTGATGACATTTCTCACCTCAACATGCAGAACACTTTTTTAACATCTACAGGGAAACATTAATTTACTCTCAAGTCTGCACCTTCGTAATGCCTACATATATGGCGCTATATATATATATATATAGATATAGAGTGGACAAAAAATCATATACTGATACAATGAAAAATAATAGTCTGTAATTTTGAAAATCATATTGTAGTGAACACCTAAGCTGATTTTGATCTAATTTGTGCATGACCAGTTATGTTAATTTAAGCAATTAACACCTCCTTTCGTCATATGCTTCAGTGCACATCCAATCATCCATACACCTATTCATTTTTTTCTTTCAAATCCATACACCTATTCTTATCATATGTATATATTAATTATATCTAATGTATATGAACGCTTTAGTTTTTTAAAACCTTGATCAAAAAAATAAAACATAATAGTTTTTAAAATTCTCACGCAAAAGAAGAAAAAGTACAAACAGCTGTAGCAATGATAGACTTAAGATCGTTAAAACCTCGTTATCGAAAAGGACGTACGAAACTACGAATCATGAATATTAAATTGAAATTTTATCATTTAAAAGGAAGATTCGATTTTCCACAATAAGTTTAGTATAGGTACGAATTTCTTATAATTCAAGTTTTCGTTTGAGCCCCGCAAAGACTTTGTTTGGCTGTCTTCGTTTTGTCATCGATCGTAAACCTTTCAGATTGAGTCGTTGTTCCTTTCACTACATTTTGTTAATATAACAAATAGACTTTTTCGTAAAATATTTGTGGTGGTCGGATTAACTGAATCTGTTAAATGAATTAATCAGTTATAAATGTTGGATATGATGACAAGTGTTTTAAAACATATAAAAATTTTGGAGGTAATATGATATATATGAAAATCTTGATACGTAGTTTGATAACAACAATCGCAAATCTGTATCACATAGATTATTATAATTATTACCTTTTTTTTTGTATATGCTCTACAATTATCTGTTTCTGTTGGTGAGATTGGTTTTAAACTAGTTACAATTATTGTTGCTTTTGTTGTCATAGATAAATGGGTCCAAATATACATTTACAATTTATATGGTTAGGTAGTTCGTTACTGGCGGCTTTATGAACATTTTATATGACAAAGATATGGATACTAACAAGTTTTGGTCTAGATTTTCGCAGTCATAAAAACAAATTCCAATTTATTTGTAAGTATATTGTTGATAAATTCTTCATGTCTTTACCTATCGCTTATTTTTGCAAAAATGTCCATTAGTCAAATCGCTATATTGTACTTTTTTCGGGTAGTTCGTTATTTGGCTTTACTGCTCGACATGAAGAGACTGATATTCTTATAAAATTATATAGAAAAGTAGAAAAAGCATAGATCGACCTTTCAAATTTGATAGCTTATCGTAATTTTCAAGTAATCATTGTACTGTTCAGCTGATTCTACTTTAATTATAATTTACCAAAATGAAAACCAGGACTGTCTCAATTTTCAGAAAAACATAAGAAAAAATAACAAAAATGAAAGATAAATAATTTTCTCGATAGAGTTTTCAAGGTTTTAAGAGATATATATATAGTAATTGAAAAGACACGTTATTAGTCGACACCTTAGTTAACACTATTTTACAAGTAAAAACAACCAAATATGTATTCCAATATAGTAATTGAAAAAACACGTTATTAGTCGACTATGGGAGATACATATTTGGTTGTTTTTACTTGTAAAATAGTCCCCACGTTCATGGTTAATTGGCTATATCGTTGTTGACGAGGGAGGTGGTTTGGGTCATGCCCGGCGATATATTTGGGCCCTTTAATTACTAATGCCTGGTCTAATAGCTATTTGGGCCACCAATGGGAAAAGTACTCACTACTCTTGGGTGTTTTTTTTTTGATAAACACTACTCTTGGGTGTTGCCTAATTAGTAGTACTATGCATTGTCTGTATGAGCAAATGATTGTGAAATAGTTTTGTAGTTGATCGTACAAACTGGAATAAAATTCAGTGATTGGAAAAAAAATGCTGTTTTATCTTAAGATTTTAGTTTTTTTAAAGGAAGAATTTAGTTAGAAACAAACTATAGCTTCGTGGCAAACCTATTAAAAAACTTATATAAACCAAAAAAACAAGAAAATATTTGACGAACGACGCCGTTTGGGTTGTTAATTACTTAATCACAATAGTGTTCAAATAAACCCTAGAGTTTGTCAACTCTTCCTCTCTGATTGAACTGTGAAGGGGCTTACCTCTTTACTGATTACATTTTATTCAGTCGCAGACGCTGCTTCGAGCTAGAGAGACGAGACGAGACTCAAGAAAATTGAATGGCCGGTGTTTCAGATGCTTCGAACATTGCTACTCTCTCGTGTGCTCGGTGCGAGAAGCCCGCGCATCTTCAGTACGTAATTGCCCATCGTTATCCTCTTCTTTTTCCTTGAATTGGTATTAATCTAGCTCAGAAACTCGATCGTTCTTGATGATTTTCGATAAATGTTGCTTTTAATTAGATTAGGGTATGGGATGCTGATGTTCACTTCGATTCAGATGTTATTGATTGATTCGTCGGTTTCTTGATTCCAAACTGGAATCCTATTTGGCCGTAGGCAAGCATGTGTTAACGTTTCTTAAACTGCTTCCTTATGCTCACAGGTGCCCGAAATGCGTGGAGCTGAAGCTTCCTCGTGAAGGAGCTTCGTTCTGGTATGTTGTCTCTCCGTTCTTTTTTTTTGATTGGCGAATCTTTAACTTACTTCATGACGACTTCGTTTTCAAAGTTTTAATTTTTTTTTTCTCTCTCTCTTTTTTTTTTCCATGCTAACAGCACTCAAGACTGTTTCAAAGCAGCTTGGACCTCGCATAAATCAGTACACGTGAAAGCTCAGCTGTCTTCAATTGCGAAACCCCTTCCCGGAGATCAGAATTCTGATCTTATTTCTCAAGGTTGGCTGTATTGTGTGAAGAAAGGGCAGGCTAGAACACCTAAGCTTCCACACTTTGATTGGACAGGGTTCGTAACCAAAGACTTTCTGTGTTTTTCTCTGTTTTAGTGTCTTCCCTCAAGATACAAATCACATCATGTGTTGCTAGTTCTTCCCCATTTTGAAGCTCTTATTTCTTCTTGCGTTGTCTAGGCCCCTGAAGCAATATCCCATATCTACCAAGCGTTTTGTGCCTGCTGAGATTGATAAACCTGACTGGGCAATTGACGTAAGTCCATATCACTTTGTGATCTGTGTTTATTTTTCTCTTTCACTAGTAACTTTATTACTGGAAAAGTCGAACCTGATTCAGTTCGATTTAATAATGGAATAATCATCTATCTAAGAATGGCTTTATAGGTCTCAACACTTGCACATGAGCTGTTATATAACAATTTTGTGTGTTTTCTATGTCTGTGTAGATCTTGATTGTCTTGCTGAGTTGATAGTTTCTAATTATTTCCCTTTTATATCTTCCATTTCACATTCAGGGGACTCCCAAAATTGAACCGAACAGTGAGCTACAACATGTTGTTGAGGTTAGCGATGCTTTGATACATTTCGTTTTGTTCAATCAGTTGCCTTGAATCCGGAGCTATGATCTCAAATCGTGTATCTCATTACTGAATATATATATATATGGTTTCATTTGATACTCATCTTTATCACTTACATACTGACAAGGTTTTTATACTTGCATTGTAGATAAAAACGCCTGAACAAATTCAGAGAATGCGTGAGACCTGTAAAGTTAGTGTTATGTTCTTTTTTTTTGCTTTAATGCCAATGGCCTGCATTTTCATTTTCTGATATTGTGTCAAGGTTCTCACTTGAATAGATTCTGTTATCAGATTGCTAGGGAGGTATTGGATGCAGCGGCTAGGGTGATTCGCCCTGGTGTGACAACTGATGAGATTGATCGAGTGGTTCACGAAGCAACTATCGCAGCAGGTTTATACCTTTAAGTTTTTCATATACTTTTGGGAAGTCAATCATTCAAGGCCATCACAGCAGGATAATAACTATTATGATATAATCTTATTTTCTTCCAGGAGGATATCCATCACCCCTCAACTACTATTTCTTTCCCAAATCTTGCTGCACGTAGGTACTTTTTGCATGTACATTATTACCGCTACCATGTATATCCTCTGCTTTCTAAAGTTATATCTTTTGGATATTCCATTTCAGATCTGTTAATGAAGTGATTTGTCATGGAATTCCGGACGCCAGGTATGCTTATATATGTTTATTTTGGAGCCTCCCTGACAAAATAGCTACACAGATCCAGGAAATTTTACGCTGTTTGCTTTAATTTCTTCAGAAAACTAGAAGATGGCGATATAGTAAACGTTGATGTAACTGTTTGTTATAAAGGTTGTCATGGTAAGTTATCTCCTGAAGATAATTGATTATTGATAATTTGGTAGTGATTTGTTACCGCTAGAGATATCGTGTCTAACAGTATGATTTTTGAGTAGGTGACCTTAATGAGACATATTTTGTTGGAAATGTTGACGAAGCATCACGTCAACTAGTTAAGTGCACGTACGAGTGCTTGGAAAAAGCCATAGCAATTGGTAGGTCCTAAGCTTCACCTTTTCAAAGCTTTTATGTTTTGGCTGTAATGTTATACCATTAAATAATTGAAAGCTTCTATGGTTTTCTTTCTTTTTTCTCTTTCAGTTAAACCTGGAGTTCGATTTCGTGAAATTGGAGAGATAGTCAACCGCCATGCTACAATGTCTGGGTTATCAGTGGTAAAATCTAGTTTTTTTTTGCGTCTCTACAACCATCACAGGATCTCTTTGTAGAATAATAACTTACTTGTGGTGGTTAAACAGGTGAGATCCTATTGTGGTCATGGTATTGGGGATCTCTTCCATTGCGCCCCAAATATTCCACATTATGCAAGTATCCTTTGTGACTTGGTTCAAGATCGCAGAACAGAAAACATCTGTTTTAGATTTTAGTACCTGGTTTGATGTTGTCCTGTTAGTCTATTACAGTGTAAATGCCCTTGACCCCGAAATCAGGAAACAAAGCAGTTGGAGTGATGAAAGCTGGTCAGACTTTCACAATCGAGCCAATGATCAACGCAGGTGAAGTGTTTTTGCATTATATTTTCCACCAACTCCTTGGTGAATTTCTACAGTTGATACCATAAGGACATTGTCATGTTAGGTTCGTGGCGGGATCGTACATGGCCTGATGGATGGACCGCAGTTACCGCAGATGGGAAACGCAGTGCTCAGTTTGAGCATACCCTCTTGGTAAAAACTTGTAAAACCTTTTAAAAATCATTAAAACTGATCAATTCTGTTATCAATGAAAGGCTAACCTGGTTTTTTTGCAGGTAACGGAGACAGGTGTGGAGGTTTTAACGGCGAGGCTTCCTTCATCGCCGGACGTATACCCTTGGCTTAGCAAGTGAACTTATCAAAACCAGAGGCAGAGGCGGACCCATGCCTAATGATACATGGTCAAGTGACACCATTTACATTTTCAATATTCATGTTAAACCTCTTGTAATATACATTATAGTAGTTTGCTTCCTTGCATTGCACTCACTTAAGTGGTTTTTGTTGAACTTAAAATAAACAAGATTTTCCTCTTAAGATAAATAGGAAATTTTTTTCATGTTACAGAATTTCTGTTATGGATGACCATGTTACATACTTCTTCTAATTTCTGCTTGAAAGAAATGATTTTTTTCGATCAACTTAGACAGACAATTAGATGTCGGCTTACTGAAAATAAAATTTATAACAAGCGGGAAAATAAAAGTTACACAACAAAGTGGGAAGCTTTATGACAGTTCTCTTGGGATTTCAGGGACACTAGAATGTCCTTCATTCAACGATCTTCACACCAGAAACATAAACTCGGCTTTGAATCACACTACCACCAATCCAAAACCCAGGCATGACCATAAGACCAACTCTTGGGTTCTCTTCTTTTTCATCCACAACTATGTTCTTCACAATACTTTCCATGTATGAATCAGAGAACTCACTACCCTTCTTCACCTGGAAGATCTTTGCGGCTGGATCAAACGAGAAAGCAAGCCTGTGCAAGATCCATATCGACTTTGCGAGTTTCAAGAAGGCCTGGTAAAACGCGGTCCTCGGATGCCCACCTCCTGTCACGTAGTCACGCTGGTCTAGATTTCCAAAGAAAGAAGCTTCCATCTTTGGATGGATCAAGATGAGATACTTGCTCCTGCAGAATTGACCAAAATTGGAATCCGGGTTTGTCCCTAGAGCATCTAGTGGATCCATATCCTTGAGAGCAAGAAACTGACGGAAGAAGGTCTCTGTGTCATCGGCCGTCGCACTCTCTGAGTCTACTGAGAAATTCTTCTCCTGAAACCCACTGAACATCCTCTGGCATATGTATGATTCAAATGCATATTTCTTGTGAGGCCTCTTGGCGTAAACAACATCAGGCTCAATCGAATTGGCTGCAGAATCAAGATCCCATCCCGCAGCTTTCATCATGTTGATTAGCGGCTTGGAGAAATCATGCACGGCTTTGGAAGCAGCTTCGTACGTTGATATAAAGAGTTCAGTGGTCAAGTCAGGAAACTGCAAATTGCCATCTCCACCAGAGGATTCGTTTGTAGACATTCCCCTTAACTTAAGATTCTTCTCAAGCTTAAGCCGTTTCTGGTTTGCTTCCTCGATCTTGTGCAGCATCTGAGTGATCTCAGAGTCCTTGTTCTGAATCTCAGACTGAAACTTCTTCACCATGACCTCATAAGTCTTGAGCAGACTCTGCTGTTCTTGAATCTCTGCAGCTAAACGAGAGTCTTGTGGAGAGACACATACAGGCTTGGGGTTATTCTCTCTGTAAAAATGCTTCAGTTCCGAAAGATTCTTGAGTTCAGAAATCACAACTTTGTCCGCTGCCTGAATCTTCTCGGGATCGTAAGGCGTATGAGCAGATTGAAGCTCGACATAAGCCGATTTCAAAGACGAGATGTTTCCAAACAGATTGGATATAAGAGCTTCCATAGCTTCTGGGTTCTGATTGATAGACTCTTCCATTGGTTGAGGATGGACCTTCTGGCTGTTGTTGCTCTCGCGGAGTTGGGTTTCTTTCAACCCACTAGGTAGCATAGTTGAAGCCACCAGACAATGTGGAACCTCCTAATCTCTCCAACTCAGACAAAACACACCAAATTTGTCCTGTAAAAAAAGGTTTCTTTGGTGTCTCAGAATTAAAATTGTCGAGCAGCAGATTCAATTTAACAAACCAGCAAACAGAAATTGTTCACATAAGATAAATTCTTGTTTCTCCGCATAAACTCTACCCAAGCTGTATTCCGGTTTTCTTAAAACTTTTTGTGTATGCAGATCTATAAGTGAATCATCATTATGATATAAAATCTGACATCTTGATATCTAAGACTAAGAAAGTATGGAAAATGTGAAAACATCAAACCCTAAAGATCTTTCTACAGTGTTAGTTTCCCGAAAACTTCAAGACTTTTTCGAATTAGGCTCGGGATTAAACAATGAAGGGGTATGATTTCATCTGAATCTAGGGAAAAAGATCGGATACAAAAGAGATCACCTGGATTTGCTTCAGTGTGTATTCACTATTCAGACAGAAGAAGTTTCGCGTCAACTAAACTTTTAGCACGCTTTCACGCCAAATACGTAAAAGAAAACGAAACATCAAGCTAACGGACGGATCATTCGCCGGAGATTCAGCCGGAGGTGAAGGAAATACAGAGACAGGAATGCTTTTGAAGGAAGTGAACGAAAGCAAACGAAATGGTAAAGCTCATTACTTCTTTCAACTTGCTCGAGCTCTCTAAACCAGATAGAGAGATTTCGGAATTGCCGTGGTTTAGCCAAAACCGAACCTCGAGTCGGTTCAATTCTTTGGTTCTGTTTGTTTTATTTTGGCTCGGTTTATGGCATTTATACCGGAAAAAGAAAACCGAATATTTTTCGGCGGTTTGCCAATTTCGGTTAGATCCGGATTGGGACCATCATTTCCGTCTCCGCATTGCCTGAGGCTCTCTCTCTCTTACGGTCGGCGAAATGGTTCGCCTGTTTCTTACACTTTCTCCGGCCATTTTTCGACTGAATATTTCTCCTAGAATTTCAATTCTCGCGACGTCTCCTTCTCTCAGATTACAAAAACACCAAAAGCATAGGCTTATAACCAAAACCCACACTTTCTCGCCAATTGCTCCTTCATCTTCAATCAAATTTCACAGTACACGATTTCATTCCACCGGAACAAGAGTTTACTCTTTACCCAAAAGCGAAAATTCAAAATTTGATGATAATTTGGTGGTTCTGGGCATTGAAACGAGCTGCGACGATACTGCAGCTGCTGTCGTAAGTCCATTTAATCAATTTTGTCTCTCTTTGTCTCATTTTTTGTTGACTAATGGGAACTTAACAGTCCACTGATATTAGAATTTGTTGTTTTTAGGTGAGAGGCAATGGTGAAATTCTTAGTCAAGTCATTTCTTCTCAGGTAAAGATGATTTCTTTGCTTTTTCGGCAAGTAGATTATCTGCCGTGCATTTGATGTTTTACAAGACTCCAATAACGTTCTATATAACATAGCCTTCACTTGTTTTTGGAACTCTCTTTGGAAATCTGGAGTCACTTTTGCTCTGAAATTTCTCTTTCCTTTATATAATCCTTCAAATTTTCACCTGTTCTGATCTCGGAATTGACGATATCAAGGCAGAACTGCTTGCTCAATATGGAGGCGTCGCTCCTAAACAGGCTGAAGAAGCACACTCTCGGGTTATCGATAAGGTAATATAGACGATTTTCCTCTTTACAAAGCATTGCAAGCTTAGGCTCAATATATGGTCCAGCTACTTCCTTTGCCCCGAGATATGCATAGGTTTAGGCCTTGGGGGTTCTTATGCTGATTGTAGACAAAAATGTGTATTCATCGATTTCAGGTTGTGCAAGACGCACTTGATAGTGCCAATTTAACCGAGAAGGATCTCTCTGCTGTTGCTGTTACCATTGGACCTGGTTTGAGCCTTTGTCTACGCGGTAAGTTGGAGAAAAAAAAGAGTCTTCACTCTTGTATTTTGGAATAGTAAGTGTCGTTAGAGAACTAAGATAGAAGTGTTTATTTTCGAGTCATACAGTTGGTGTGCAGAAGGCTCGAAGAGTTGCTGGTAGTTTTAATCTCCCGCTTGTCGGGGTGCATCACATGGAGGCTCATGCTCTTGTAGCAAGGTATTGCTTAATGTGCTCGCTTTATGTTTTTACTTCTAATTTGAGATTTTTGCATTGCTCATGAGCTTTTGATTTGTCTTTGTAGATTAGTGGAACGGGAATTAAGTTTTCCTTTCATGGCATTGCTTATATCTGGTATTGCCTGAATGGTTTCTAGTATCAGAATAAAAATTATCGAAAGGGGCTTTAGGTTTCTATAACAACGACAATTCTGTTTTTTTCCTGTGTAGGTGGGCACAATCTTCTAGTTCTTGCTCATGAGCTTGGTCACTACACACAACTTGGGACTACAATAGATGATGCTATAGGCGAAGCATATGACAAGACAGCAAAATGGCTCGGCCTTGATTTGCGAAGGAGTGGTGGACCAGCTGTTGAAGAGCTTGCTCTGGAGGGTGATGCAAAATCTGTTAAGTTTAATGTAAGTGAAACTGGTTTGCTCGCTATTTAGATTTTGTTCTTTTCTTGTTCTACTCATTGTGCGCATCCTTTATGTTCTGCTGTTACCTTGTTTTATCAGGTTCCAATGAAACATCATAAAGATTGCAACTTTTCTTATGCTGGCTTGAAGACACAAGTGAGGCTAGCCATTGAAGCCAAAGAAATGTAACGTTTAGAATAGTTAAGATTTTAAAATCAGCTTCGGTTAGTCCGAGTTACGTCACATATGAGCAAGCTTGTTGTTAAAAAAAAATAATGGTCTTTTGGATGTGTAGCGATGCTAAATGTCCAGTCTCTTCTGCAACAAACGAAGACAGAAGAAACCGAGCTGATATCGCCGCTTCTTTCCAGGTAAAAACCAATCTATGGTTCAATTTTGTTGTGAAATGCTGATTTCTAAATATGAAACTGTTTATATGAACCAGCGAGTAGCTGTCTTACATCTGGAGGAAAAGTGCGAGCGAGCAATAGACTGGGCACTAAAACTAGAGCCTTCAATTAAACATATGGTGAGACTTAAAATAAAGAAAAAACACCTAACCTTCGGTTTTGCTTGACAATAGGCTTCTCTTACTAATTTAGACTAATCTTCAGGTAGTCTCCGGTGGTGTTGCTTCAAACCAGCATGTACGCTTTCGACTCAATAGCATTGTCGAGAACAAAAACTTGAAACTTGTTTGCCCTCCTCCTAGCCTTTGCACAGACAATGGTAAATACAGTGTGAGATTCTCCTGCTGATCAAAATAGCTATACAGAGAATGGGGATTAACAATTCTGTAATCTCTCCAGGAGTTATGGTGGCTTGGACTGGCCTCGAGCATTTCCGTGTAGGAAGATTCGATCCACCTCCTCCTGCAAGTGAACCTGATGATTTCGTGGTATGTTCTTTAAGCAAAGATCGATACTTTGAAAGGTTCTATTGTTGAAAAAGAGGAGAGAAGATTGAAAAATTTATGATTGATGTTTTGTGGTTTTATGAATTTAGTATGATCTGCGACCGAGGTGGCCTCTTGGAGAGGAGTACGCAGAAGGAAGAAGTGATGCTCGTTCTTTGAGAACCGCACGGATTCATCCGTCGCTGACTTCAATCATTCGAGCAGATTCTCTTCAACAACAAACACAAACATAGATGAACAGATTGTCTCCTCTGCAACTAAGCAACAGAGCTTTTAGCTTCCTTTGTCTCTCGATTGTAGTAGCAATTTCAACAAACGATTTTCCGGTTAATTATTAAAATCATTTTCATTTAAACCAATGGTATATCCTCGTATCCGGTTAATCTGAACCGTATCCGCATTCATTTTATTTAACAATAATAAACAAAAGTAATGGCGCCAAACACTTACTTTGGGCGGCGAAAATCGCCGGCGATTGAAGAATCCTCACTCGCGACTAGAGATCATGACGGAGACATCGAGGCTGCCGTTATCGTCTTCGATTAGAGGGAAGCTGATATCTGCCGGTTACACTTCTCTTTCATCGATTTCTTCCGTCTCTTCAACTGATCTCGCTCGAGGTGAATTTTTTCTTTACCCTAAATCTTACACTGAAGATTGCAATCTGTTCATAGTGTCGAGGGTTTTGGGTCACACTGGAATTGAAAAGAGATGTTTGAATCGTTTCATGGTTAATGTCTCCGGAATAGTGTTTTTTTTCTTTCTGATTTTCTAGTAAAACGCCATCGATTACTCGTGGGTTAACGTTTAAACTTTACCTCCTTTTGATTAAACCATCTTTGTTTTTGAGGAAAAATTCGTCATCCTTGGTGTTTGTGAACACAGATGTAAATATCACAGAGGCGGAAGCATTTGACATTTTGAAGCTTGTAAATCAAATTTCTGGATCCAATGGAAGCAGCTCGCTTATAAATGGTAACTTGATGAACTCCTTGGAGATCTGTTGGGTTTTTCTTCTTATTTTGATTCACTGAAGGATTCTCCTTTTTGGAAATTTCAAAACTGAAACAAGGAGCAAAGAATGCTTGGGATATGCTACATGAGGAGGAATCTTTGCCGCGCATTACTACATCTTGTTCGGATCTTGATAGCATCTTGGGTGGTGGAATAAGCTGTAGGGATGTTACCGAGATTGGTAAGCCATCTCCATTTACTACTGTTCTCTTTCTCTGCTCCAATTTAGCAGCAACAAGTGATTTAAGCTTTTTACTTATATTCTGCAGGTGGGGTACCGGGTATTGGCAAGACTCAGATTGGGTAAAATCCGCTTAATATGGTTCCTCTACTTTCTAACAAGGATTTACTCTTCTGTTAACTTCAATTTTGATATCAGGATCCAGCTCTCTGTGAATGTTCAGATTCCTCGTGAGTGTGGTGGTCTTGGAGGGAAAGCAATTTATATCGGTATGTTTTCTTTATAGTGACTTGGGCTGGTCGATTCAATCTTGTTGAATGCCTGCAATGCCCAAGTTTTTGTATGTTACAGATACAGAAGGTAGCTTCATGGTGGAGCGTGCTTTACAGATCGCAGAAGCTTGTGTGGAGGACATGGAGGAATACACAGGATACATGCATAAACATTTTAAAGCTAATCAAGTACAGATGAAACCCAATGATATCTTAGAGAACATATTCTACTTCCGTGTCTGCAGTTACACCGAGCAAATCGCATTGGTCAATCATCTTGACAAGTTCATCTCTGAAAATAAAGATGTAGGTATACGACTTTTGAGTTCATCTGAGGATTATTTTTAATAACCTCGCTTTTACAAGAATATTGAAACAGAATTCGATTATCACTAATTATGACTCTTTATCTTTGATGATTGCAGGTCAAAGTGGTAATCGTAGATAGTATCACGTTTCATTTCCGTCAGGACTTTGATGACTTAGCCCAGAGGACACGTGTGCTCAGCGAAATGGCTTTAAAGTTCATGAAGCTTGCCAAAAAATTCTCACTTGCTGTAAGCATTCATCTAATTCACAACACATCCTTCACCCAAACCAGACTAACTCTATAATCAGCTTCATCATTAGCTAACTCTTATTCTCTAATCTCAGGTTGTATTATTAAACCAAGTGACCACAAAGTACACCGAAGGCTCGTTTCAATTAGCTCTTGCTTTAGGTGACCAAACTTAAATCAACCATCTTTATTTGCTAATTGCTATCATCGTCATCATCATCATCATCCCTTTGTTATGATTCTTAATGTTTTATTTTTGCTGTTTCAGGCGATAGCTGGTCTCATTCTTGCACCAACAGAGTGATTCTGTATTGGAACGGTGATGAGCGTTACGCGTATATCGATAAATCCCCTTCACTTCCTTCAGCTTCAGCTTCATACACTATAACTAGTAGAGGTCTAAGAAACTCTTCCTCAAGCAGCAAGCGAGTCAAGATGATGTAAAGACACAACACAAGCACATGAGTAAGCTTTCTCCGGTTTAGTTTTGATTTGATTGAACGCACTTGTTTGACCGGACGATATCAAAACCGGCACAAGAGTTGGTGGATTAGTGACTAATTAATTTATCTATTAAATCGAAACTCTAAAGCAATAATAATGTTCTTCACCTACCCTTGTCATGGGCCATGGCTTTTGCTTTACACACCAACTCATGCCACATCCATATGAATATGATAATCAAAAGATCAATTTTAAACATCGTATACAAAAAGACAATGTCACGTATATGATGCTACGTGTAAATGAAAATTAACGTGGCAATCTCTCCACAAAAGAAGCAACAACCGTAGTCAAACTCGCCGAAACCAACGATTTACAGAATATAAAATTGCGGTCGGTAAAATGTGAAAAGGCGTAGAGGATCATCGAACCAGATTGTGTTCCATTTCGAATCCAACGGTCAGTTTTTCTTTAGCTTGATTTGTCCGAGGAGTTGGCGAGATCTGATTGGTTGACTATTCTTTCTCTCTCTCTCTCTTTAAAGCAGCAAGTCTCATGAAATAAGTTGCACAGAAAGCTTAGTCTTACGTTTCTTCATTTCATTAGACTCTGAGAGCATCCATGGCTTCTACTTCTTCGTCTCTAGCGATCTCTCAAGCTCTCCTTGGCCGAGCCATCTCTCAAAATGGCTCTGACAAGTGCGTCTCTATCCCAGCTTTCTCTGGTCTCAAATCCACTTCCCCACGCACCACCTTCTCCAGTCGACGCATCGCCTCCACGAACAGTCACTCCCTACGCCCTCTCGTTCGTGCAGCCGCCGTAGAGACGAAGACTGAGTCGTCCCTGGTTGAAAAATCGGTTAACACGATCAGGTTTCTGGCGATCGATGCGGTAGAGAAGGCGAAATCGGGTCATCCGGGTCTTCCCATGGGTTGTGCTCCGATGTCTCACATATTGTTCGATGAGGTCATGAGGTATAACCCGAAGAACCCTTACTGGTTTAACCGTGATCGCTTCGTTCTCTCCGCTGGACATGGCTGCATGCTGCAATACGCTCTGCTTCACCTCGCTGGCTACGACAGCGTCAGGGTTTGTCTATCTCTTCTTACTCTTGCTTTAGGATTTTTTAGGATTTTACAAGGAAATTTACGATTTTTTTTTGTTTTGTAGGAGGAGGATTTGAAGAGCTTCCGTCAATGGAGAAGTAAGACGCCAGGACACCCTGAGAATTTTGAGACTCCTGGTGTTGAAGTCACTACTGGTTAGACTTTCTGCTTTTTTTGAGTTCAGAAGAAACTTCTCTCTCAGCTGCTCTCTCTCCGTCCATCTTTGTTATAAATAGCATTGTTTGGTTTTGCCAACTTGCAGGTCCTCTTGGACAAGGTATTGCAAATGCTGTTGGTTTAGCTCTTGCTGAGAAGCATCTGGCTGCTAGATTCAACAAACCTGACAATGAAATCGTTGACCACTACACGTAAGATGCTGAATCCTTCAATTCTTTTTTGGTTTGTCTTTGATTCTGATGTTGGAAACTGCTGTTTTGGGATTTAGATATTCGATTCTTGGAGATGGTTGTCAGATGGAAGGGATAACAAATGAAGTTTGCTCTCTGGCTGGCCACTGGGGACTTGGAAAGCTCATTGCTTTCTACGATGACAATCACATTTCCATTGACGGAGACACAGAAATTGCCTTGACAGAGAGCGTGGACAAGCGCTTTGAAGCTCTTGGATGGCATGTTATTTGGGTTAAGAATGGAAACAATGGATATGATGATATCCGTGCTGCCATTAAGGAAGCTAAGGCTGTAACAGACAAGCCCTCTTTGATTAAGGTATCATCACATTTTTTTGTGTTTGTCATTAAGCAACACCTGATCATCTCTAAGCGCTTGGTATTTACTATATTTTGACATGATTCAGATCACTACTACAATTGGTTATGGATCTCCCAACAAGGCAAACTCATACAGTGCTCACGGAGCTGCCCTTGGAGAGAAGGAAGTTGAGGCTACCAGACAAAACCTTGGATGGCCATATGAGCCGTTCCAGGTACCTGAGGATGTCAAAAGGTAACTGGAACTGCACTTTTGTTTATGTTTGTGTTATGGGAGCCTGCTTTGATAATTTACCATTAACTCTTAAATTTCCTAGCCATTGGAGCCGTCACACTCCCAAAGGCGCTGCTCTTGAAGCTGATTGGAATGCCAAGTTTGCAGCTTATGAGAAGAAGTACGCAGAGGAAGCAAGAGAACTAAAATCTATTATGTCAGGGGAATTGCCTGCCGGTTGGGAGAAGGCACTTCCTGTAAGTTGGTAGAACTTCTGGTAACGTCTTGAGATATTTGTCGTAGTTACTGAAACTTAATTTCCATTTTTTTCAGACATATACACCAGATTCTCCAGGTGATGCCACTAGAAACCTGTCTCAGCAATGTCTTAACGCACTTGCGAAAGTTGTGCCCGGTTTCCTTGGCGGGAGTGCTGACCTTGCATCTTCCAACATGACATTGCTTAAAGCATTTGGCGACTTCCAAAAAGCCACACCTGAAGAGAGAAACCTCCGGTTTGGTGTAAGGGAACACGGTATGGGAGCTATCTGCAACGGCATTGCCCATCACAGCCCCGGTTTGATCCCTTACTGCGCAACTTTCTTTGTGTTTACTGACTACATGAGAGCTGCAATGAGAATCGCGGCTCTGTCTGAAGGTGGTGTTATATACGTTATGACACATGACTCCATTGGTCTGGGAGAAGATGGACCAACCCATCAACCCGTTGAACACTTGTCCAGTTTCCGTGCCATGCCCAATATTCTAATGTTCCGTCCTGCTGATGGCAATGAAACAGCCGGTGCATACAAAATCGCTGTCACTAAACGGAAGACACCTTCTGTCTTAGCCTTATCTAGACAAAGCTGCAACAACTTCCAGGAACATCCATTGAAAGCGTCGAGAAAGGTGGATACACCATTTCTGATAACTCAACAGGTAACAAACCCGATGTGATCTTGATCGGAACTGGATCAGAGCTGGAGATTGCTGCTCAAGCTGCAGAGGAGTTAAGGAAAGAAGGCAAAACTGTAAGAGTTGTTTCTTTTGTATGTTGGGAACTGTTTGATGAGCAATCAGATGCATACAAGGAAAGTGTTTTGCCATCTGATGTATCAGCTAGAGTTAGTATCGAAGCCGGATCGACATTTGGATGGGAAAAGATTGTTGGTGGAAAAGGAAAATCGATTGGAATTGATTCATTTGGGGCAAGTGCACCAGCAGGGAAGCTTTATAAAGAGTTTGGTTTCACCATTGAAGCTGTGGTTGCAGCAGCTAAGTCACTTATCTAAAGAGAATCTTCCGGTTTGGGTTTGGATTTGATGTAAGAGACGATCCACAAGCATTGTCCTCTTTGTCCAAGTATGAAAAAACAAACGAATTGTTTTCTTGTAATTCTTGGAGAGATATCATCATAGGTTTGGTTTTTGTAACAAGTCTTTTTGTACTCATGGCTGATTTAAATAAAAATAATGCAGTTGAACACTTCAATTCTGTTAAGTAATCCAAATATCTATAACTTTATAAAAACCAAGAAGAAATTAACGAGAACTTTCAACTTCCTTTTGACATTAACAAGATGAATCTTATACGGAAGAGAAAAGGTCTCTGCTAGTACTTATATGTAACTTGGATTTCTAGACAAAGCTTACCTTAATAAGTTGTCAAAAGCTTCGTAATTCAACAGAAAATATCCATAAAAGCCAAAAGATGCGAGGATCACCCAGTTTCCATTCGAATATCCCAAAGAAACATGGTAAAGCTTTTTTGTTGGTAATCCCACAATTTGGAAGATTATCCCCGAAAAAGCATATTATGATGGGTTTTTGTTAGATGGCCCAATAGTTTCGCTGAGGCCCAATTGAAGACCCATTTTCTTATCTCATTCACTTCCCACCTACCCAAACTAAACCCCCCCCCCAACTAGGTGACGTGGACAAACAGTTAGGACGTGTCACATTCTAATTGGCTTGAAAAACGCTCATACCATCCCTGAGTTGTAGAGTTGGGTTGGTGAAGGATTTTGATGGATGCCCTCTCTGCTCTCACCAAACCCCCAAAAAGTGTTATATTTGTAAAGCCGCCAAAATACGACGAAAGTTTATAAAGTTGATTATTGTAATTTGATTAGTCGAACACATCTTTTGGAATTTTCCGTAATTTGAAGAAGGCAGAGTTGGGGTTGGTGAGTTGAAACAACAAATTTCTCAACAACGAGTTTTTTTTACAATTCTCTTCACAATTTCTGAAACACCATTTTCGATTTGCTTCAATCAGAAATTCTCCAATGGCTCAAGCTAGCAGAATCTGCCATGGTGTGCAGAGCCCATCTGTTATTTCCAATCTTTCGAAATCCAACCAGCGCAAGTCGCCGTTATCGGTCTCGCTGAAGACGCAGCAGCCTCGAGCTTATCCGATTTCTTCGTGGGGATTGAAGAAGAGCGGGATGATGCTAAATGGCTCTGCGATTCGTCCGGTTATGGTTACGGCTTCTGTTTCCACGGCGGAGAAAGCATCGGAGATAGTGCTTCAACCCATCAGAGAAATCTCCGGTCTGATTAAGCTACCGGGATCCAAGTCTCTTTCCAATCGGATTCTTCTTCTTGCCGCTCTATCTGAGGTATGTACCACTCGATTTCATCGCTTTCTTCTTTCTCTGTTTGCTTAGTGTTCACAAATCTGCGTTTTTTTTTCCATTTGCTGTGCTTTTATAGGGAACCACTGTAGTGGACAACTTGTTGAACAGTGATGACATCAATTACATGCTTGATGCGTTGAAGAAATTAGGGCTTAATGTTGTACGTGACAGTGAAAATAACCGTGCGGTGGTTGAAGGATGTGGCGGGATATTCCCAGCTTCCATTGATTCCAAGAGTGATATCGAATTGTACCTCGGAAATGCAGGAACAGCCATGCGTCCACTTACAGCTGCAGTTACTGCTGCAGGTGGAAACGCAAGGTAGATTTCAGGAGTAAATGCTTCTTGGTTTTGTTATTCTCGAGATTTAATTTGTGTTGATGCGTTTTAGTTTCGTTTTGGTTTATATCCAGTTATGTGCTCGATGGAGTGCCTCGAATGAGAGAAAGACCTATAGGGGATTTGGTTGTTGGTCTTAAGCAGCTTGGTGCAGATGTTGAATGTACTCTTGGAACTAACTGCCCTCCTGTTCGTGTGAACGCTAGTGGTGGCCTTCCCGGTGGAAAGGTGAGATCTTGCAAATGGCTTGTGAATGTGTAAATCTCAGGCCTTTACTTTTATCACTACAGTCTTAGCTTGACAAGAATTTTTCTTTTTGGTTGCTAACGGATGGATTCTAAACTGGAACTGGAATTGATGCCAAATTGGTTATTTTGTTTTGGGAGTAGTTTTCTTTCTCGATTACCTTTTCCCTTTGTGTGGTTTCTTGATTGACACTTTGGACATGTTATTTTGCATTTGCAGGTGAAGCTTTCTGGATCAATCAGTAGCCAATACTTGACTGCTCTTCTCATGGCAGCTCCCTTAGCTCTTGGAGACGTCGAGATTGAGATTGTCGATAAATTGATCTCTGTTCCATATGTCGAAATGACATTGAAGTTGATGGAACGTTTCGGTGTTAGTGCCGAGCATAGTGATAGCTGGGATCGTTTCTTTGTCAAGGGCGGTCAGAAATACAAGTAAGAGTTATTTATTCTTTCTTTTTTTTAAATCACTTACCTTAGATTAGCAAAGAATGACCGACCAAATGGCAAAACTGATTCAGGTCGCCAGGTAATGCTTATGTAGAAGGTGATGCTTCTAGTGCTAGTTATTTCTTGGCCGGTGCTGCCATTACCGGTGAAACTGTCACTGTCGAAGGTTGTGGAACAACCAGCTTACAGGTAATATTTGTTATTGAATCATCGAATAGGCTATTGAGTTTGTTGGGAAATGTGATTAGCTCAAAGGTTTGTCTTTTTGTGATAAATCTTTAGGGGGACGTGAAATTCGCCGAGGTTCTTGAGAAAATGGGATGTAAAGTGTCCTGGACAGAGAACAGTGTGACTGTGACTGGACCCTCTAGAGATGCTTTTGGAATGAGGCACTTGCGTGCGGTTGATGTTAACATGAACAAAATGCCTGATGTAGCCATGACTCTTGCCGTTGTTGCTCTCTTTGCCGATGGTCCAACCACCATTAGAGATGGTAAGATAATTCTCTATTTAAATTACTGTTTTTTGAATAATTATGGTCTCTTTTAATTGTATTTGGTTTATTTAGTGGCAAGCTGGAGAGTAAAGGAGACAGAAAGGATGATTGCCATTTGCACAGAGCTCCGAAAGGTAAGATTCTTCTCTCTTGGGTGTATGATGCTCGTTTAAGTATATTGTTGCCTAAACGGTTCTTGTGTTCAGCTGGGAGCTACAGTGGAAGAAGGTTCAGATTATTGTGTGATAACTCCTCCAAAGAAGCTGATACCGGCGGAGATTGATACATATGATGATCATAGAATGGCAATGGCATTCTCTCTTGCAGCTTGTGCTGATGTTCCGGTCACCATCAGGGATCCTGGTTGCACCAGAAAAACTTTCCCTGACTACTTCCAAGTCCTTGAAAGAATCACAAAGCACTAGACAGACCCTCAACCCATTTGTCTTTTCTTTTGATCCAATGCTGATATTTCTTTCCTATCTGTTGCCACTGTAACATTAATAGAAACAAAGAGTATCAAGATTGTTTGCGTGTACCGGAACTGAGTGAGATACAATTGTTGAATCGGTTTTCGTCTTAAGTTTGTGATTAGAATTGGACAAAAAAACATGAAAGCTAAATCCAATTAAAAACCGATTTTAGTGTAGCCGAAGTAATTAAGCAAACTTTGTTAAATGTAGCTGTATGCGTATATATATATAGGTTATTTTATTAATTAAAACCGAACATAATCTCCAAACCAAATACCAAATAAAACCAAACCGGAAAGTGCATCGATTGGAACAAAATCAAAACCGAATTACAAATATTGTACCGATACAATTAAACCAAAACTGATTGGCTATCCAAGGCCGGTCTTGTCCCAGCCCGTCTAAACCCAACTCAGATCTGAATCTGTAGTTTAAGCGCAATCTTGAAAAAATTGAGCCCAAACCTTACAAGATTGAGAATTATGAACAAAAAGGGTTTATTACCCTCTTCTGCGGTCTTGGAATGTGTTAATTAACTGCAAAGGGTTGAATGTAAAGACAAGGGAGTAGATCTCAGAGTAGATACATCCGAAGGAGGGACAAAGGCATGGGGACATGTTATGCCAATTCATAAAGGGAAACGAGAGGACATGTTCTTGTCTTATGTAATCAAATCTTCACATGGGGTCTTTGAGTGCCATTATAGCCATTATTCACTTGCACCTTTTTTCTTTTTGCCCTTTTGTAAATTAAATAAAACATCTTGTGACTCCAACAACTTTTTTTGTTAACGCATTTTAAAAAGTGGGTTTCAATAAAAGACTAAACCATCATGATTTCAACCGTATAATGCTATACATAGGAATTTTATATTAGGCTCGTACAAGGCATGCCATATTTTAGAGATTTGTGATGCTCGATTTCTTGGAGAAGCATAGTAATTATTTAGAGGAAATCACTAACAAAATTGAAGGGCCCAAAATATCTCTCACACCATTCAAGAAAAAATGTATAAACATAGGATTTGGGGTCATCAACAACCTGTGTTCAAATTTAGGAGGGTCCAGTCTCATTTAGCACCAATCCACTAAACAAATTTATTAAAAGGAGTTAACTTTGGTTCAATTCAAAACTTTTGTATGAGAGGCTTCCCGAAAATCTTGGAAGTCTTCACCAATCAAAATTTTAATTCCCTCATTCTACACACATGACAACGAATCTATTGAAGAGTCATAAACCTTTTACAGTTATTATTGTTTATCAATTATTTACAGAAAACACTGTTTCAATTATTTATTCAAGTCAAACAGATCAAAATACCTGTTTTGACTCTCTTTCTTCTTATTTTCCTTGATTTGGATCTCTAAATCTCCAATCCACATGTTCCGAGTTAAAAATCGACACTCTCTTTATCACACCCAAACTTTGATGATCCTCGAATATATTTTAGTAAAAGTTAATAATATTCGTGTTTCTCACTGTGGAGTCACAATAAAGAAAGCTAAGCTTCTTTAATCTTACCCCTCCAAGAAACCTGAAGATTCTAAGAAGCTGCCATAAAAACTATAGAAGGAAAAGTAAGAGAGAGGAAGAAGAAGAAGAAAGGCGTTCAAAGAAAACCCAAGAAACTACAACTTTCCCGAGAAAATGTCGCGTCTTGACGACATACCTTCAAGCCCAGGCAAATTCAAGATGGAGAAATCTTCTTACTTCCATCGCCTCAGATTTCAATCGTCCCTTACAAAATTCGCATTTTTCTCCTTCTTCCTCCTCTGTCTCATCTCCATACTCTTCCTCCGATCTCCACCGTCCGTTAACCCCTCACAATCCGATCCATCTCGCCGCTCACTCCGAACCTACAGCTACGGAGGACCCGCTTGGGAAAAACATCTCCGAGCCTCCGCTCGAATCCGAACTTCAAATAACGGAATCACCGTTTTAGTCACCGGAGCAGCCGGTTTCGTCGGGACACACGTCTCCGCCGCTCTAAAACGTCGCGGAGACGGCGTCATCGGCCTCGACAACTTCAACGATTACTACGATCCATCCCTGAAACGAGCAAGACAAGCTTTACTAGAGAGAAGCGGGATCTTCATCGTAGAAGGAGACATAAACGACGTCGAATTGCTCCGTAAGCTCTTCAAGATCGTCTCCTTCACTCACGTTATGCATTTAGCGGCTCAAGCCGGAGTACGGTACGCAATGGAGAACCCTAGCTCGTATGTTCACAGCAACATCGCCGGATTAGTCAATCTCCTCGAGATCTGCAAATCGGCTAATCCACAACCTGCGATCGTCTGGGCTTCGTCTAGCTCCGTCTATGGACTCAACACGAAAGTCCCCTTCTCCGAGAAAGACAAAACAGATCAACCGGCGAGTTTATACGCCGCGACTAAAAAAGCCGGCGAAGAAATCGCACACACGTATAACCACATCTACGGATTATCCCTCACTGGATTAAGGTTTTTCACGGTGTACGGACCCTGGGGAAGGCCGGACATGGCGTATTTCTTCTTCACAAAGGATATTCTGAAAGGGAAATCGATTTCGATTTTCGAATCGGCGAATCACGGCACGGTGGCTAGGGATTTCACTTACATCGACGATATAGTCAAGGGATGTTTAGCGGCGCTTGATACGGCGGAGAAGAGTACAGGAAGCGGAGGAAAGAAGAGAGGTCCGGCGCAATTGAGGGTGTTTAACCTCGGGAACACATCGCCGGTGCCGGTTTCCGATCTGGTGAGTATATTGGAGAGGCAATTGAAAGTGAAGGCGAAGAGGAATGTGATCAAAATGCCACGAAACGGCGACGTTCCGTTCACTCACGCTAATATCAGCTTAGCTCAACACGAGCTTGGATATAAACCGACGACGGATTTGCAGACGGGATTGAAGAAGTTCGTGAGATGGTATCTGAGTTACTACTCCGGCGAGAAGAAAGCCGCCGCTAGATGATTGTTTCTTTTTTGGATTTCTTGTTTGTTTGAGTAAATTTTGGGGATTGTGTAACACAGTGAACAAACCCATCGGCATTTTATTTAATTTATTTATTTTACTTCTCCAATAAGTAACTGTTGTAGTGAATTTGATTGGTCTCCTAACGTCAAATAAAAAAAATCACAGAGATTTGAAGAAATGAAACACACAACAAGTATCGTAGTCGTGGTAAAAAAAAAAGAATTGGTTCCACCATTTTTCTTAGTTTAGAAATCGTATTTAGTTCTTCCACTACCTAGAACAAGACACAACATATCTGGGATGTTGGAAGTAGATTTGTAGAAGTTCCATGCCTCAAGCATTAGTCGTTTTCTTGATCCTTTGAAGTGAACAATCTGCGTGTTTTTTTAAGAGTTAGCGAGAACAGGATGAATAGATTTTGTGAATGGTTTTAGGGTTTTAAGAGAGTACCTTGACATCTAATGGCATGCCATGAAACTGACCAGCACCTTCAGGAGGTGTCCAGTTGTATAAAGCACATGGCAAAAATAGCACAGAAGCTCCAGCTATTTCTTGTGTGAAAGCTTGTGGCTTTGTAAATCTCTTTGCTTCAAATGAAGGATGAGATTTGACAACCCACACCAAAGCTAGTTGATCACCAAGCATTCGCGAAGCCTTCATATATTTGGTTTTGTAAGCTTTTAGGACTTGCTCAAGAAAAACTTTAGCCCTGCATTTTGGTACCATGTAAGACAAATTCATCAATACTGAATGTTCATCCTGATTAGCATACCAGCTTCAGATACTGTAAGAGATTTTGCTTGGATTAAATGAGGATAGAAAAGAGATAAATGCAAACCTTAGGATCCCTTCCCGTGTGCCTCTCACTGCTATAAATCCTGAATTCAGCGGTTGATCTTTATTGTTCCTGAATGTGAGAGCTATATGGAAGTTTGGATGCTTGTCAAATATCGTCTTGAGGTTATCAACCACGGCTATATCAGAATCAGTGAAGATATAGTGGTTTATCCCACCATCATTCTTCTCGAGCTTCATCTCAAGAAAGGTCTGCAGAGCCAAATTTTAGCAAACATTACGACCCAGTGAGCATTCATATTCTCTCTCAAAAACTCAGATAAAACTGAAAATATAAAATTAGGTAGATCTTAAAGAAATAGATAGATAGATAGATAGATAGATAGATAGATAGATAGGCAAAAGCAACAAATATATTCTACCTAGGTATTAGTGTGATTTTGCTCTTACAATGTAAGACCTGATTCTCTGAAGCATCAGGTTACCCCGTGAATAATCACCCCGAATAGGCAGTACCATCACGTTTCTCGGTTGGATGGAGAGATGAGAAGCTGGATCAGTCAATATGACGACATTGCTCTTGGGCATAGTCACCTACAACCAAAACCAACAAAAAAAAAACAGATTTTTCAGCTAAGAAACACCAAAAGTGACCAAAATTTAGAGGAAAACTCAGCAAGTTACCTGAATGAAGTTGGCGAATGCATTTAGAACTGCCATTGACCTCTCTGCCTTGCTGTAGGTAACATTGCCAATAACAGAAACCATGTTGGAGGATTTCAAATGATCGAGTGATGTATCATAAACAGTAAACACTGTTACAAAAGAAACACCATTTCCAGCACCAGACACATGAGAAGTTGTAGTGTGAGTCTTGTTCAGAGCCTTGGTTCCTAAACAAATATGACAATGCAAAAACAGTCACACCAACATACCATTCAATAGTTGCATCAAGTTGCAGTTCCTAAATTTATGAGTTATTCCTACCAATATGAAAGCAATGGTTGTAAAATTTGTGACGCAACAAGACAAGTAAATGTGTGAACTTTAAAGTCCTTCGACTCAGAGAGATGAGGATTTGTGTTCTGGCCCAAAGTTATACTAAGTTCTGGAAAAAATTGCTCAGATCAACTTGTCTCAAACACAAATCAACGAGTGTGATTCAAATAACTATAACAAAAACAAAAGTGCTTATCTGGGTACTAGTAGCAAAATCTAACCTCGGCAATGCAATCTATCCGGGAAGCCTACTCCAGCAGCAGGACCGAGCACGAGGTGATCTAATTTCTTGCTACGAATGCTTTGCGCTTCGTTCCTAGACGAAGGAGTCGAAGAAAAATCAACAACTGACGAGAGATGAGGAAGAACAAAGAGCACCGGAACAAGCAACAGAAATCGACGCCATCCGCTACAAGTTCTTAAGCTCCGATAATCTCTCCGGGACACCATTGATAGTATAGACGATCTCCGATCACCGAAATTAATTTCGGATCGGCGGAGAGGATTGAGACGATCAAGCGAAGTTGTGTGGGCTCAAGTTGGATTTAGTTGGGCCTTTAAATGAAATTTTTTGACATCAGCCTTTTTTTATTATTGCTGTAGTAGTTTAGGTTTATTGATCGAACCGGACCGGATCCAAACTACATGACATTTATTATTCAATAGCGTGCCGTTGATCAGTCAGTTTCATATAACGAAATATTAAGATGATTTAAAAAAAAAAAAAAATGGAAAGATTAAGAAAGAGTTAAAGACTGTTTAGCTTCTCTGTTCATATGCGACACAACCAGATCCGAATCAATTACATATCACTAAAGACCCGTAAAGAGTTTACAAGATGTTGTACTATTTACCAGAACTTTAACCGGAAACTCAAGAAATGAATGGTTCCGATTACAGCAGATAAAGCAAAGGCATAAGCGGTTAGTATCGCAAGGGAAGATAGTGGAGAAGCAAACATGGTATCTACGGTGAGGTTCACCATTCCTGTAAATACGTTTGCCTGCAATGGTGAATTTGAAATGAGTTCACAGAGAATCAAGATTCTTAAAATATTGTGGAGAACTCAGTTGATAAGAGACTTACAAGAAGAAAGGTAGCTAAAAGATTCTGGTCAATTGCTTCTTCAAGAGATGAGAGTTTGTTCATAGGCATATAACTAGAAAGCATAAATATACCCAGCGCCTGAAAAAACAAACAAAAAAAAGAAGAAGAAAGAAAACAAATCTTAACCCTCTAATCATAGAGACAAAGTCTTCATCTTTATAATTAAATCATGAACTTAAAAGACCTGAAGATCTTGAGCGAGCACCCAAGTAACATAAGGCATGTTGCACTGCAGAATATAAAAACCATTTTTAACCAATACTGTCCCTTAAATTGCTTTTGAGCTTTAAGTGAGTACAATTACCGTTCGACGGGAAATCCTCTCGACATAGTTGTCAACAAGTATAGTCACAATCCTGAGACATACATACAAATTTCCTCATGAGTGATACTATCATAATGAGATAAAATGTTCTATAACCGCATGTTTTTTACCATAATAGAAGAGAAACGAGAAAGACTCTAGCGATTGAGCTTGTGGTGCTTCGAATATTCGAATGTTTTGCGTAAAAGAGACGATAACCTAAGTGAACGCCGAGAAGGTACATGCCCCAATAACCTGAATCAGGAGAGAGTCAGATGCCACAATATCAAAAGAGAGTAGCAAATCAACCAAATCAAAACCTTACCAAGGGTGCTAAATACTCCTTCCTTGTTCTTGCTGATAATGTTAACTCCTCTTTCGTCAGAAAGTAGATATGTGTTCAGCCCACTAACCAACCAAGTTTGATACCCTGAGCACAAAGGAGGTTGAAGATGATTAGGTCTAATTATCTTGTATATCTTTTAAGAGAGAAAATAAAGTAAAACTGGAGTATACCTGCAAGAATAGCAAAACCTAGGATTCCACAGTACTTGGCTGGTATGTTAACAAATGATGTGAGAATTGATATGGCTGCAAGTGTGAAAAAGAAATTCCAGTGTTGTCCATATTCCGTAACGTGGACCTTCATATAGATAAGAACAAGAATGGTTAGACTTTGTAATGCGAGAATCATCAATACATAATAAAGAGAAATTGTGGAGATTTTCTTTACCTGATAATCCACACCTGAAGTGGTAATCAAACGAATAAACCCAAGTAATAGCAGAGGAGCAGTTGCCTTAAGTCCAGCTAACCAGTTTCTGAAGCAACGCAAGTAAAAATCGGACCAAGTTTAAATAATACTGAACTACAAACAAAGCGGATAATGGAGTGCTAAGGAGAATCACCCACCCTGATGAGACGTCTCTAGCTTGCCGAGAAACTATAGCATTAGCCAACACAAAAGAGCCAACCCCAAGATCCATCTGTTTTCATTTCAAGTTGTAATATACAGTTACTAATCACAGTATAAAGGCAAATCTCAAATTAGTTTTAGAGTCTAAAGGACTAAAGGAAAACGAATATGCGGCTCGACATTTCAAAAACATACCAAGCTAGTACCGTAAGTCTCTGTCTTGGCGTACCTCCTCGGAAAGATAGTGAAGTCAACAGCCAAGATACACAAGCATGTAATTAGCATCTGCAACAACGAGAACATCCTTCAGAGTAAATGGAAGATAAAAAGCAGAGTGGATTTTTAAATTAAAACAAAGTAGTGGTGTATACCAGAGCAACTCTATAAGAAGATACATTGGCTCTAAACGAGAGAGACTGTCCTCTCTGCAACCCTGAAGAAGATCTGGAATCATATTTTTAGTTTTAAAAAGCTACAACAGGATTGTTTTGAAGATAAGGGAAAATAAATGAAAGTTTCTACCTTTTGGTAGTCACACAAAGAACCAGCAACAATAACGATAACAAAACTGCCCCAAGATAAACCCATTCTGATAGAACCTATAATAAGATAAAATTAGCGAGATTAAAAAGAAAATAAAATCACAGGCGAAATTTGAAAGAAAATAAACACAATAGAAGAAGAAGTTTGAAGGGACATACGGTGAAAAACAAGAGCATGGGGAAGACAATGAAGATGAAGTCCAATGATATGGCATAAGTGTAAGCCTTCCAATTTCTGGAAACAACAATCTCATCGTCTCTTTTCTTCGATGAGATGGATCTGGCATTATTATCTATATAACAAACTTGAAACAACTTAGACTAATCGAAACAAAGAGCATCACTCAGTCCAAAAAGAACTAAGGAGATGACTTTAATGGTGATTGCTCTTGCAAAGCTGACAGTTCTAACAATTATATGTCCAGAATGAGATTTTTTAATGGGAAGATGAAAAGAAGGAAAGACTATCAGATAAACGAACCGATTTTACAGTGAAAGCCAATGGAGTATCGCAAAAGAACCAAGAGCTGAAACAATAAAAGTGATCATTCAGAAATTCAGCAGAATCAAAATGTGTGCAGAAAACAAAAACAAAACAAACAAAGTAAACGTACAGGGACAATGGTTAATAGTGCTGCGATTTCCAGTATAGAAGATCCATCCAAATTGCTTACAAATCTGCCAAGTCAATTCGAATTAAAACTCATATACGAAGGAAGAATCGCAAATCAACAATCTACAATCATCGAGAAGACAAGAGAAAGAGAGAGAGAGAGAAGCTCTACTGTTCTTTGAGATGCTTGTTTGGATTCATAGTCGAATCCATCAAAATTCGAAATCCAGATCCAAACTTTTTCATGAGTAGTTCGAGCACATTCGTTTTTTTTTTTGTTTCTGGTTCACTTAAATTACGAACCGGCCGGTTCAATTAATAAGGTCTGATTCGTGGGATTCTTCTAAAACCCAAACTCAGCACAGTGATTGCTAACCACACCGCAGGAGAAGAAAACAGAGTAAGTCGTTGAAATTTCGAACCGGTTATCGATTAATCGAGTCAAATTGGCGGATTATCAGCGATTTCTCACGTCGTGGTTTCATGTATAACACTGGTCGGCTTCTGCGTTTTAATCGTCTTCGTCTTCCAACTCTGACCTCGAGCAGCAGTGAAATATTCCCCAAATTTTCTCCGTTTTACGCTTTCATGGATGCTTCGAATCTCGATTCTTCCAGAAAACCTGCCTTCTCTTCCTTCGCTCAATCCAGCAAAAGGTGAGTCAGAGTTTTCATATTACTCCAAAGTCAAAAAATCGTCATGATTAGTGAGGTTTGGTCATTATCGGTTTTTGATGGATGTAGCGGCGGTAGAGGAAGAGGAAATGAGAGAGAGAATGATCGACGGAGACCTCAGGGACGTGGCGGCGGCGGCGGAGGCGGTAAAGATAAAATCGATGCGCTTGGAAGACTCTTGTAAGTGGGCTCGTTACTTATTCGAGATATCGTGGAGATTTAGCTTAATTTTGAATCTTTTTGGATGGATATAATCAGGACGCGAATCTTGCGCCACATGGCCACTGAGCTTAGCTTGAACATGCGAGGTGATGGTTTCGTTAAAGTTGAAGATTTACTTAAGCTGAACTTGAAAACATCTGCAAACATCCAATTGAAGTCACACACCATTGATGAAATCAGAGAGGTCAGTTTCATTATCTTCATTTGTATTTGTCTATGAGAATTTCGATTTCAAATGATTTCCTGGTGGGTTTGCGTATGATTTCGTCTGGTGCTGTTAACTTGCAGGCAGTGGGAAGGGACAATAAACAACGATTTAGCCTCATAGAAGAGAATGGAGAGCTCTTGATTCGGGCAAACCAAGGCCACTCGATCTCGGTAAAAAAATTCTCGTTTCTGATTTCTCACTCCAGTATTTGATCGTTTTCTCACGATTTTCTCTTTGACACGTTGTGTTGAAAGTTTAGGCCTTGTGCCATTTATTTGCAGAAAATTTTGGCTTGTCATGTTTTTGAAACCATTGATCTTCTATTTGCAGTGATTTTTCTTCATGTATAACACAGTAGAAGCTGTTTCTTCCAGTTTTGATCAATATGCTTTCTAGTTATAAGTTTCTGCTTATGTCTTCCTGTGCAGACGGTTGAATCTGAAAAGTTACTTAAACCAATATTGTCAGCGGAAGAAGCTCCAGGTAAGAGCATTATATAAGGGCACATACTTCTGACTTCTGTTCTGTATCGCATAGTTGTTGATATACATTTGAATTTCTGTCATGGCAGTGTGTGTCCATGGAACTTATAGGAAGAATCTGGAATCAATCTTAGCATCTGGCTTAAAGCGTATGAATAGACTCCATGTTCACTTCTCTTGTGGCTTGCCGACAGATGGTGAAGTGATAAGTGGTAAGATTTTTATCTTTTTGTTGTTCTGCATGATTGCATAATGCACATTTATCTGATTCCAAATTTTGATATGATATGGCTAAGGTATGAGAAGGGATGTTAATGTCTTAATTTTCCTCGACATCAAGAAAGCTCTTGAAGGTATTACGTTAGTACGAGAAATCAAATTCCCCTGTCTAATGCCCTCCAAAGGTTCAAAATTTCATTTTTACTTTTGCTTGATTCAGATGGGATTGCTTTCTACATTTCGGAAAACAAGGTGATTTTGACAGAAGGCGTTGATGGTGTAGTGCCTGTCGATTACTTCCAAAAGATCGAGTCTTGGCCTAATCGGCAACCAATACCTTTCTGATTTTTTGTATGCGTTTATGATTTTGCAACTTTTTGGTGGACAGGATCAATGTGTTTGTTAAAATTTACAGGGTTATATGACAATTATTCTGACCTTAATCTTTCACAAGGTCTTCGTGTCCATTTCACATAGACAGTCTGTTCTGTTATTTCAGCTGTCGGAAGTCTTGGAAACTTATGTTTGCAGAAACAACCCAACTGATGAAAAGCCTGTTTGATACTTTGAACGTTAATAGGGTGCAAAAAAAAAACTTGAGCAATTCTAAAAATATATTAAACACGTTTGTTCATTGAAATGATCAAAACCTTCATTGTAGCTTGACAACAACAACAAAAAAAAAACTAACGCGAAACAGAGAAATTTAAGTCCAGTGACATGCGGAAAATAGAAAACGTTCTTGAAGCCTTTCACTTAACTCCATGCTTTCTAAGCCACAAGAGTGCTTGCAGTAGTAGACTCGCTGCAAAAACGCACAATCAAGATATATGTCATAATCTTTACTTAACGAAAGAAAATAAACAACATCCAAAAAACAAAAGATAAAAGAGTCGATATTGCAAGTAAATGTACTTACTACTTCCATACTGGAGGAAGCTTCTTGGTCTTCTTGTAATAACGAGCAAGACGGTGGATCCTGCTCTCCACCAGAATTAACCTAAACTTGGAATCTTTGTCTTTCCTGTTCCTCTCCAAGTGCTTGCGGATAGCAACTGCTTTCTTGATCAGGTGGTATAGATCCTCAGGAATCTCAGGAGCAAGACCTTTTTCAACAGCAGCAATAAAATGAAAGTCTTTTAGTTTCCCTATATATATGTTTCTTATAGCATATAAAAAAACAGATATGATCAGGGTTAGACACAAACCATGGGCTTTCAGAATTCGCAAGATCTTGTTTCCGGTAACACTCTTCACCTGAGGGATACCGTGAGAGTCACGAAGAATCACACCAATCTGAGATGGAGTCAAACCCTTCTTTGCAAACTTGCAGATTGACTCATCGACCTGTTTGAACAGAGCAAGTAATAAAAAAAAATTAATACTTTTCAAACAAGAATCAAGGAACCACAATGGAACAAAGTTCACTAAAACGAGCTAAGAATATTCATATCAATCGATTTCAGAAAACAACTCTCTTTCGAAAATGCGATAACGGCAGACTAAATTCCAGAGCTAGATAGCAAACGTTCAAACAAATCCCATAAACAAATTCTAATTCCAAAGTTCTGGTCTTAACACTAAGTGTGAGATATGAGGAGCAATTAAGAAACAAGACAACAACAATCGAAAAATAGAACTGATGCAAATGAAGCAAATATCTCAACACGAACACAAACACAAATCATAATCTTAGATTTCCGAGAAGTCTTACATCCTGCGCGGTGGTCTTGAGCCAAGTCGGGGGTGAACGCTTGTACGGCAAAGCAGATGCCGAGATTCCCTTTCTAAAGAAGACAAATGAAAAGAAGACGAGATCAACACCTAAAACCGGAGAGATCATAAAACAATAACAATGTCCCATAAATCGAAGCATTTTCGAAGAAAAGATGAAATTTACGAACCCTCTGCTGTGCATACGACCCATGGTGACGATTTAGGGTTTACGGTGCTTCTACACTGTTTCGCTGAAGTCCTTTCTGCTGCGCGTCAAGGGAGAAGATATAAACCCTAATTTCATCCATTTGCAATTGAGCTACGTGTCATTTTGTATTCAACCATTGGGCTTCAGGTCTTGTTAGACTAGCCCATATTAAAAGATAATAAGCCCACGGATAACAAATTAAAGCCCATTAATTCTATTTTCTCTTTCACCTTAAAAAATGCCCATCACACTCTAAGCAATTTGCTACGGTGGATTTTCGATAGAAGAATTGAAAGCCCAAATTTAGTACGTCGTTTTCGTGTTTTCAGATATACAATTGGTCCAATGAGAGATCTTTTGCTTTGCAAGTTTGGTCTGAAAAGTGTGATCATGCATATGCTTAAAGTTGGATTTAGTCTTTTAAGTTGCAATTATCATTACCTTTATTGTATTATTAGTCTTTGATTATATCATAATGTCAGACATTATAAAATAAACATTCGGTACAGCATATCAATAAATTTTTTTCTTTTGGGGTCACGATATCAAGGAAGTTAATGTAGAAGAAATGGAAAAGAAAAAAAAGTAAAAGGTTTAGAGAAACGCAAGAATATAAGAGTGAGAACCGTGAAAGCAAAAGAGAAAACTTGTAAAAGATCATTGTTGTCGATGAGATTATTGTTAATTAATTAAAGTGCACATTTGTCTTGGTCACGTGATTTCTCGTGAGCGTATTCGAGCTTTAATTAGCATAGAATGAATATAAAAATATCATAAATTAAGTAGTGTATGCTTTTAAACTTTATACTTCAATCTTGTCTTCGACTTGGTTGGTTTATTGTGGTCTCCAACGAAACTAGGTTTCCGTGATGCAAACTTGTCATTATCATACTATTCCTGTTCAAATTAAATATAAAATGCATTATTTCTGTTTGTATATTTTGGTCTAATTTGTTGACCAAATTATTGGTCGAAATGTTTTTGATATATTCAATCATCTATAACTGTTTTGTAGAACATTAATGTATAATGAACCAATACATTATCTACATCAATTTAGAATGAACGAATAAATTATTTCTGTTCGTATAATTAGATCTATTTTTAATTTAGATTTAGAATTGGATGTATCCGGAATTGGTCGAAATGTCCAACTAATTTCGTGGTGAGGGAATCTACTGGTACATAGTTTTTCGCAAGTCCATTACAAACCATTTGAACAAAGCTCAAGTGACCAAATAGTCTATGTATAGTGCATTAGTGTTTACATAGTTTAGGCCATTATGCCGCCACACGAGAATTGAAATATCAAATTTTTGATGTGACGTGTTTAATATATTATACTATAAGGTATTGGGTTTTTGATCTATCATTACGAGCTCTACAGGGATGGCATACATTAGTCAACTATTGGAACAAAAATAAATATCTGCTAAAACTGTGACAAAATAAAATCATTTCCACAATACTCAAATATCTATTTCATATATCTACTCTAAATCTTTCATATTTATATTCTACTTTTTAATTTGTATTAGTTAATCCGCGTATAAACAGATGTATAAGTCAAATTTTTATTGAAATAAATATCTGGATTATGACTGGTAATTAATCCGCACACTTGTTTTGGATTTGGATTGGTAACTTTTGTTATAAGTATAACCGACTTCAACCTCACACATTGCAATATAATCCAACTAGGCAACGACCTCTTCCTTTATACTAAAACCAAAACAATGATTATGAAGAAAAAACATGTTTTTAAAGTTTTGAGCTCATTTGATAAGAATCTAAGAGAGTATAAAACTATTTATATAAAGATGAATAAATTATTTCTATAAAGATAAAAAAATATAATCACTTCCTTCTATAACAATATTAATTATAAAATAGATGCATCAAATTTGTATAGCAGCAAGATACATAAATTTATGCGTTTTTACGTGAGAATTTATTTTTTTCTTGCATCTTCACATATGAATTATTATTTAAAAAATGTAATCATTGGCTTCTATACTGTTTGTATTTTTGGACACTGCTTCGTTTTGTCTTCCCGTGTTAGGTGAGACCGAAGAAATATATCAAATCTTAATTTTATATTTAAAATTCATGAATTGAAATTTGATTTCTTCAGGTTGTGGAACGTTTCTAGTCTAAATTTTATTGTTTACTGTACTTACATAATGACGAGCTGTGCAAATGTGAACTGAAAAATTTTAAATACGTGACGAAGCTACTTAACTGTATATAAGTACGGCCGGTCCCCAATGAGTGATGCATTTCAAAATGTTCGCATCTTGTAACATCTGATCATTAATTGGCACGCGTAATATAGCCTTGGACCTTTGTTAAATCAAAGAAACTTCGAACACACATGAGTTTCGGTTTTCAACGTCTGAGTTTACGAGAAAAATAAAAACATAATTTATAAATAGTACTGCTATTAATAAGTCCACTTACATTTAGACACGATATATAATAAAACAAAACACATAGATTTAGTCAAAAAACAAAACTAGGATGATAATCAGTTAAATGCGGTGCCTACCAAGTACCAACATATACAATTATAATGCTTGTGAATTTAATTTTGGAAGAATGTAACAATATAGTACATGAAACATCGTACTCACGCATCCAAACAAAATGAGACAGGCTGGGGTTTGATAACGTGTGTGACATTTCTCTTAGAGACTATCCAAATACTGTATAAGGTGTGACTTTGAATGATAACATATTAATGGTTTTGCATAGCATTTTAAATTAGTGGAATCAGTGCTTGCTAGCTATCTACATATATATACTTCTACAAAACACTATATATGACGGTTTAAAACTTTGTTACGTTTCGTAGATGTATGCGAAGCAGATTGGTCACGAATTTTGTTTGAGTTTTATTTGTTATCATATCGAATACAACACACTATTTATGACGATTTACAAACATTCTTACATTCATTAGATGTGTGCTAAGTGCTAACTGATTGGTCACAAAATAGTTATACAGGCCACTTTACTTTTGCTAATTCTCATTCTTACTCATAAATTGATATCATTCCCTCTGTATACACATATATAAGTGTGTGTGTCAGTGTCTTTATAACTATACATCATCCACCACTACCCACGAAGTAACAAATTACAGAGAAAATGAAATCTCTTAAGTAGCTTTATAGCCTTTTGCTTTATCCTCCTGCTCTATGTCTTTCTTGTTTCTGTAAATTCACATGTTACACTTAGAGGAGAGTAAGTGTTGGTCCATTTACATTCTGCTGTGATCAAATCAAGAAAATAGCAAAACATTCACTCAAGAGAAAGTCACATGTTTTAAAAATTTTACTTATTTTTTATTAATTGTGTATAAAATGTTCACATGTTGCTTCTATTGACTTGCCTCCATCACCTTTCTTTGTCCCATTTGATGTACTCTTAGCCCCATGCCTCTTGGATGCCTTTTTATTTTTTTATTGATTTTATTACTATTACTATATATAATATATACGCTACTCTTGTTTTATTCAGGTAACAATTATATGAATCAAATAGAGTAATGCAACGGAATAATGTCAAGAAATCCCATTTATCTTTGTACCTTATTCCCCATGTGAACATATAGAGCTAGTTATCAGGTTATCTGTGTACATATCATAGCTAAGGCTGTTTACTCACGACGATCTGTTGTAAATCAAGTACAGCACTGATTTAGTTAAGTTTAGTTTTCTACAATTCATATTCAAAATCTGTGATAAAAAAAAATTGTAGAATGATATACATCTCTTATATATATGATTAAAACTAAATTTAACCAAAAGAGACAAAAAAAAAACTATACCAAATTGATTGATATCCGGAATGAAATCTGAATCAAACATATTTTTAATGTTTCTATGTAGAATTATTATATTTTTGGTTTTAACAATTGAGATATTCTTTTCGTAGTGGAATGAAACATTTATGAACTCGCTTATTATTAGAGATTAATTAATGCCAGCAATAACTTCAATGGATATATGAAAAGTTAAAACAATGATATGCAAAGTACGATTTTATAGCTGGTGCACTGAAAAAGAAACAACTTTTCTTACCATTAAATCTAGAGAGAGTGGTATCATTTTCAATTTTGAATAAAAAGGCTAGATTCGCCTAACTATTATTGGTTTTCTCTGAAAAGTCTTAAAAAAGAATCTTTACCGTATAAAGCACAAAAAATAAAATTTTGTCAAAAAAAAAAAAAAAAACTGGTGGACTTGCAAGAATTTAAACTCTGATAAATACTCTTTTTCACCCCATCGTTTCTCGTTACTTGATCAAAAACCATAAACACAAAATTTCAAAACAATACTTCCTCTATATATCACTATATATTAAGTTATTTTTTTAATTGCATAAACGTATGAAAATTATTGTTAGATGTCTAATATTATTACATTTTATATTAATGAATAAAGAACAGTTTTCATTTTGAATATTGTGGTCTACAACCTTTTTCAGAATTCACAAAAATAAACATTTTGTCCTTCAAAACCAGAAGAGAGAGTCATTTTCTTCCTCATCACACACTCTCTCTCTTCTCTCCAACCAAACATGGCCTCTCCACTCTCACTCCTCCTCATCCTCTCCGTCTTCTTCCTCTTCCTTTCTCATTCACTATCTTCCTCATCTGAGCTCGATATTCTCCTCGATATCAAATCCTCTCTCGACCCGGAAAAACGCTTCCTCACTTCATGGACTCCCGACGCCGACCCTTGCTCCTCCGGCTCTTTCGACGGCGTCGCTTGCGACGGAAACCGCCGCGTCGCTAACATCTCTCTTCAAGGAATGGGTCTTACCGGAACTATCCCTCCTTCAATCGGTCTTCTCACTAGCTTAACCGGTTTATACCTTCACTTCAACTCCTTGACCGGTCAGATTCCTAAAGATATCTCAAACTTGCCTCTCCTCGCCGACTTATACCTCAATGTCAACAATCTCTCCGGCGAAATCCCTCCCCAAATCGGAAACCTAGACAATCTTCAAGGTCAGTCTTTTAATGCATGTGTTCTTAATTAATCTCACTCATTCATACTTCATTTATTGCAGCAAAAAGATCCTTAAGTGG